CCACTTTCAGCTACCTATGATTCCATTAAAAAAGTGTAAGTTTGCTTCTTTGCATTTAAGCCTTTAGTTCTGTGAATGCTTTTGAGAATCCAATTTCATTTCTCTGTAAGTGAATAATCACTTTTTCCTAGTTTCTTTTATTGAATTGTCCCCACTTCCCTCTTAGATGCACCGCATGTACACTGATCTGGCTTGGTTTTTAGTCTGCTCTGTTGATTGTCTGTCTGTTTCATTGCCAATAGTATACAACTTTAGTTACTATAGCTTCATAATAGTTCCATTATCTGGTCGAGCAATATTTTTTCAGTCTTCAAGAGGACTTTAATTATACTAAGGTTTGTCCATGTTAGTTTTAAATGAACTTTTCCTCTCCTTCTGAAATTCCTGTGATTCAAAGATTATTTCTTTACAAGCCCAGCAAGCTACCGAGAGTATCTTGCCTGTACAGCAAAGCCTGGCAAGCTACTCATGACATATTAGATATGCCAAAAACAGTAACAACATATCTCACAATTTTTTGTGACACATTACTGGTGCCTGCTCGAGCAAATTGATGAACAACGGGAGGACAGTGCGGTAGTGATATTATCTATCAAGAATTTTACATTCTCTTTCATTTGTTTGCTTTTCTTTTTTATTTCATTATTGGTGATGGCTAATATTTTTTCTTAATATCACTGATATGGTCCTTTGCATGTTGAATTCTGTTGCTGTCACTTGCTATTTTTTAACTTCTTCAATTTCATTTCTATGGATTCTTTGATACCCAGAATCAGTTCACTTTTAAGTTGGTTGAACTTTTCTTCTAATCATTTCTTTAATCCCACTGCTATTGAAAGGAGTATTGATTTGAGTTCCTTCGTTGATGACCCTTGAGAGTTTATTTGAGCTCAGTGATTTGCCAGGACTTCTGTCCCTGTGTGCCAGGGTGAAATCCTTTCTTTCACCATTGTTCCTAGAGATTTGTTTGTGCAATGCTTTGAATTTGAGATGCCAGATATCTGAGGTCAATGTTATTTTTCAATGAACAGTACCATTTAAAATCTATTAGTCTAGGGGCTTGAGCAAAAGCATAGTGGGTAGGGCATTTGCCTTGCACACTGCCGACCTGGGTTCAATTCCCAGCATTCCACATGGTCCCCTGAGCACCGCCAGGTGTAATTCCTGAGTGCAGAACCAGGAGTAACCCTTGAGCATTGCTGGGTGTGACCCCCCCCAAAAAAAAAATCTATTAGTCTAACAATGCCTGTGCCCTTAGGATGCTACTTCACTGGTCATACATCTTAGTGTCTAATATATATATATATATATATATATATTTATAAGCGGGTTAAAATAGACATAGTTAAGGAAATACATAAGGCCCAAGAACCTTTGGAATTGGTGGGGCTGAACAGATGATGTCTGTGTGGTTTGGGGTTTGAGAAGGGTTTAGAAGGGGCTTCCTCACTCCAGGGGCCCCAGGAAGGCATCGCAGAAAGCACAGATGTTGTGGGGCAGGATGGGGGCTGTCACCTGTGACACAACTAAATGATGAAAGAGGCCAGAGTCAGTTTTCTGGGCCCTTGTAGGGGCATGCCCTGGTTTAGAGAGCGGTTTGGGGAGGGGCTTTCTCGGTCTGGGGGACCCAACAAAGGGTCAGGACAGTGAAGAAGTCCTTTTCACATTTAGTACTAAGTATTTGTTAATTCTTTTGGTTGGTAGCCTCCCAAGTGTGCTCAGGAGGCCGTGTGCTACTGGAAGGAACTGGATGGAATGTGTGACTTCCCAGCCTCTATTTATTTTATTCAGAGTTGTTCTTTAGGCTATTTTATACTTAGATGTGGTGTTTTTAACATGCAGTATAGAGATGTTTTAATTTTTAAATTCTAGTTTAATTGTGTTGGTCTGAGACTCTTATCTGCGTGATACTTACTTAAAATGTACTGAGTCTTATTCTTTATGCCCTAGTATAACTGATAGTTGTTATAAATATTCTATGTGTGCTTTAGGAGGATATTTATTCTTTAATTATTTGATAGAGAAGTCTAGTTATTCAGTTGATCCGACTGGTTCATTTTATTGCTCAGACCTCCAGTTGTTATTCTAGGGTATGACAGAAGATCTTTGTTGGCCTTCTGTTTGCTTGGCCTGCCAATAATAAATAAGTTAGGTAGATTTGCTTTTTTTGCTCAGAGGTCTTATTGCTTTTTATTTTATGTATGGTTGGAGTGATTTTATTAGTTTCATATATATTTGGAATTGCTATGTCTTCTTTGTATATTAAATCTTTTATCATTATCTTGTGGGCCTTTTCTATAATGATACTTTTGATCTTAAGAGTATGTATTTAATTTTACTGAAACAAGGTCAGCTGGCTTTTAGCTTTAGTAATACTCTTATAGTTACCTTTTACTATAAACTTTTATTCCTTAGATATATCTCTTATAATAACACATAGCTATTCCTTTTGTTTTGTAAGATTTTATAATCTCTGACTTACTTTTTCAATTGAGTCACAGTGAGATGCACAGTTTTTAAGTTGTTTGTGATTGGGTTTCAGTCATACAATGTTTCAACACCCATCCCTCTTCCAGTGAACCTTTCCCATCACCAGTGTCCCCAGTTTCCCTCCTGCCACTCACCCTCCCCCCATTGAGTTTTATCTAGTTACCTTTTTTGTAATTACTGGAATACTTGGTCTTATTTCACAATCTTTTAATAACACTTTTGTTTGTTTGTTTGTTTTGTCTTCTTTTATGCTCTCATTTGTTTTTGACCACACCCAGCTGTGCTCAGGCCTTATTACAGGCTCTGTTCTCAGGGATCACTCTTAGCAAGGCTCAGGGGACCGTATGTGGATCTTCGGCCAAATCTGAATCAACTATGTGCAAAGCAAGCATCTTAGCGGATCTACTTCTCTCTGCCCTCCCTCTCCTTGACTTTTAAATAATTATGTCTCCTCTTCTCCCTAGTAATATAAGAATTTTAGCATACTCATAGTGCCCCCCCTTAAAAAAAAGTGATAGCAGGGTGAACCACATCTGGTGGTGCTCAAGGGTTCCTCCTGAATCTTTGCTCAGGAAGTTGTCAGGGGATCATGTGTGGTACCAGGATGTGAGCTGGGGTCAAAGTGTCAGACTCGTGCAAGGGAAGCATCTTACTCCTCTTTGATCCTCTCTTTGTGCCCTTGATATTGCTGAACTTTCCTTATTTTAAAAAAAATCCTTAGGCACCTGCCAGCGCTCAGGGCTTGCTCCTGTCTGTGCATTCAGGGATCACTCCTTGTGGGCTTGGGGTACCACATGGGGTTCTGGCAGGAGTAATTCCCAAGCAGGGCAACGTATGACCCAAAACAAACCAAAATAATAATAGCAATCATCATCATCATCATCATCATCATCATCATCATCATCATCATCATGATACTAAGCTCCACACAGAACTTCTCTCCATAGAGGTTGTACCACTTTCCCTTTTCCACAAGCTGGTGGTCCTATAAACACGCTGCCTAAATAAGTATTTGCCATATCATCTGCTGCTGTCAGCTTCACATAGGGACTTGGCACCTGGTTTTTGCCCTTACGCAGGGCAGAACTGATTCTTCTCTGAATGTCATACATTCAAGTAGTGTGGAATGAATTTTTCCCGAGACAAGTGAAAGTAAAGCTCAACTCTCACTCCTGCTGATCACAGATGCCCACCGTGGGCACACACTCTTTTCTCTAGATTTAACTGGACGAAAATTTGAGCATGTGTTTTCCCAGCCATTTTCCTTCCATCCAGGTGACGGACAAAGTTTCTCACCTGCTCCTTGGCTCTTCACACATCTTTTGTGATTTTTCCATCTGCTTATATTTTTTCCCATCAGTTTTTTCTCTGAGTGTTAGTCAATTCTTTATCTTGTTTTTAGATTGCTAGAGTTCTGTTCGCAATGATATTAACTCTAAGTTTCAGATCTCCGTTTATCTCTGTGACCTCTATGATTTCCTTCTCCTCTTTCATTCTTCCATTCCTGCAATGCCGGTCTTTCTCGGGCAGCCTCCCTGATATATCAGTGAATTCGGGGATCCTCTGCCCTAGAATTTGGTTGGCCTACATGTTTCTGATTCTGTTTGTTCTTCCCATGATTCTGGAGAAGTAGTGTGAGGTCCAACTGGCTTCCAGGGCTCCTTTGTCTATTGAGTGTCAGCAGCTCCTCAGGGCTCATTCCAACCCCAACCCTCTCATGAGCTCCCTTTGGTGTCTCTTGCAGTACTCTAGTCTATGTGAAGAGACTTCTGCTGCCTTCCCCTGTGCACAGTTTGTCCAGCTCTTCATAAACTCCACCCCCGCCCCCAGACCTCATTGACAGGCCCAGTCCTGAATTCTCCCTCCTGTTTCCCCTCTGTAGGAGAGCTCAACTGAAAGCACATCCACCACCTTCAGTTTTGTCCAGAACCTTTTCTTATGTACTCTTTGGGCTATGATTCAACTGTTCCTATGTGATTTTAATCCTATTTGTCCTTTTTTTATGGGTTATTGAAAGTTTGTTTTGTTGCTTCCCAATGCCCATATGAGTTCTTTAATGCTTGTTATTTCTTGGGACATCTAGTGTGTAATCCCAATACCATCTTTGTCTCCATTCAAGAGAATCAGGTCTTGTGAGTAGGCTCTTATGAGTCAAGTAATGTAGATTTGAAATGTGGTTGCTCTCTCACTAGCTCAGTGACTTTTAAGTACTTTTTTTCTTAACCTGAAACTCCCTGTTTCTGGTTTAAATGAGAAAAATCATTGTGGCCAGGTCTTGGTAGACTTGGGCAGAGCCTCAAGCAGAGCCTCTGGGTTGGAGCAGGCTGTGAATTTTCATGCTGACTAAGTGCATCGTTGTTTTTATTCTTGCACTTCTTACTGAACTGTGCAGTTCATGAGGTCTAGAGAGGGTCCCATTTCCATCTGTTTCAGTTGAACTCAGAGTTTCTTCCGCCCCTTTCCCCCTGCCCACTCATGGTCATTCTGATTCCCCCCTGTTCTCTCGGCAGCTCAGCTGCACCAGCTGGAAGGGCTGCACACCATCGGCGTCACCACCAATGGCATCAACCTGGCCCGGCTGCTGCCTCAGCTCCAGAAAGCAGGTCTCACTGCCATCAACATCAGCCTGGACACATTGGTGCCAGCCAAGTTTGAGTTTATTGTCCGCAGGAAAGGTGACTAGAGGCCACACACAGCGGGGTACAGGGGAGGGTGGAGTGTGTGTGTGTCCCAGAGCTAAGGCATGTTTATGCGGCAGGTGCTAGGACACAACCCGGATCTCTCCCTTCCATGCTGGGGTGTGGGAATCCTTCCCTTGGGCTCAGGGAGCCCTTCCCTTTATCCCTGGCCTCATCCTAGCCAGAGGCCCCTCCTGTATGAGGGCATACAGGGCATCTCGGTTTGGGCATCAGATTAATGGTGACTAGTTGGCCTCCAGGTTACCCAGGACTGAAGGTTACCAGAACATGGGATTTCTTTCCCCCTTTTATCCCCAAGGCATACCCTGGCCAACTGGGATGACTTGGGAGAAACTTACAGAGGAAAAGTTAGATTCTTTTTTTTAAAAATAAACAAACATTTTTTTTAATTTAATTAAGGAACCATGATTTACAAAGTAATTGATAGGTGAGTCTTAGGCGTGCAATATTCCAACACGGCCAGATCTAGTACTCCTACCTTTCTCCACCACTGTCAGAATTTTCAGGTAGCATTTTCAATCAGTCCCATGACACAGAAACTTAACCATGGACCCCAAACTAAGCAATGGAGTCTTCCTGCAGGGATGATTTCATTCCTTTTTTATTTGCTCCCCCTAATTATACTATTACCATATAATAATTTGCTCGCTCTTGATGAGATATGCTTTCCTCATAGCCTGTCTCTGTGCTGCACAACCCCACATGTTGACCAACAGCGGGGAGTGGATCCAGGGTCTCCTGGTTCCTGACAGTCGCCATGCTTTTCCCGGGGCTGGGGGGGAATGAAGGGCTAGGAAGAGGAGGAATTTGTGGGTCCAGTTTCTCTCTCCCCCCAGGTTTCCACAAGGTCATGGAGGGCATCCACAAGGCCATTGAACTGGGCTACAGCCCTGTAAAGGTGAGACCATGACTGCTGCCCCTCGCCTCCCCCAACACCTACCTTTCCTGCACTGCCCGCTCCCAGTCCCATCACCCTGCTCTGGCCAGGCAGAGGTGAGACTACACCCCATCACTGGGCAGGGGAGACAGTTCAGGGCCCCATGAGACATCCGAAGCTACGAAGAGCTGGGGTCTGGGGAAAGGTAAGGGATGGGACACACAGTGGAGAGTCTGACCTGGTGTGAGGCCCCCAGAGGCTGTCCTCACAAGAGAACATAGGAACATTCATGGTCCCGGTGCCCCTGGCAGGTGAACTGTGTGGTGATGCGAGGCCTGAACGAAGACGAGCTGCTGGACTTTGTGGCCTTGACTGAGGGCCTTCCCCTGGATGTGCGCTTCATAGAGTACATGCCCTTTGATGGTCAGTGACATGCATCTGGCGGGCTGGGGGAAGGAGCCAGGCAGCTGGCAGAGCTTGACCAGGCTCTGGGCGCAGAGACCATGCTCAGTGCCTAGGGGTTGCGGGGGTGGCTCACCTTGTCTCACCCATGGGAGCTGCAGGCCCTGGAGCTGAGTGGGTGCATGTATGCAGAGTGGGCGGGGCCCTGTGTGTCAGGATCAAGGCTGCTGCGGGGCCTCACACACGCAAACGTATGTTTCATTGGTTCCTCTCTACTCTCTGGGTCGAGGGAGGAGGAGGCACCTGAAGTCCCAGGGCCCTGCCTCCCCATGACTCAGGAGCTCCCACCCCCAACCCAGGCAATAAGTGGAACTTCAAGAAGATGGTCAGCTACAAGGAGATGCTGGACACCCTCCGGCAGCGGTGGCCAGAGCTGGAGAAGCTGCCTGAGGAGGAATCTAGCACTGCCAAGGTAGGTGGCATGGAAGGTGGGTGGCAGGGCCAAGCCCCTGACACAGGAGACCCCGTGGGGCCAAGACGCTGGCCTGCCTTAATGGGTGTAGACCGCAGGGAATAGTGGTCTCAGGCATGCAGCCCCTCTTGGACTTCTCCGGTCCTGCTGTCCTCTCAGACAGCTGGTGCTGGCTCAGCGCTCTCTCAGGCCATCTGTCCCACGACACTGTCCTGGGCTCTGCCCTTTCACAGGAAACTGATATCTCCCCTTCTCCCCCCCTCGCCCCGCCCCCCAACCCCCTCCAGGCCTTCAAAATCCCGGGCTTCCAAGGCCAGGTGAGCTTCATCACATCCATGTCAGAGCATTTCTGTGGGACCTGCAACCGGCTACGAATCACTGCTGACGGGAACCTCAAGGTGAATGCTGCCCACCACCTCGGCTCTCAGTTTCCCATCCTGCCTCCACCCCCTGATTCAAGGAGACACGGGCGAGGCCCAGGGGGTGGTTTGACAGTGTCAGTTTTGGGGGAGCCACCATCACCCCAATATTCTCAGGCAGGAAAGAATAGTTGGAAGTCATTTTTCTAGCCTCAGTATTGCACTAGGGAGAATGTGGAGTGACCCCTCCACCCTGGGTGGCAGCCCCAGCCAGGTGCTCCATCTGACCCATAGGCCTGTCAGCACTTTGAGGAACATGGGCAGGCAGAACTTTTCCAGTGGAATGTCAGGACCCATCGGTAAGACATCCAAGCAAGAGCCAACAAGGCAGACAGGGCCTTGGCTGGAGTGCGCAGGCCATCGGGAAACCTCGGGGAGGACTGGATGCCCACTTGATGAGCCTTGTCGAGAGTAGGGGCTCAGAAGGAGATGGAGAAGCTGCATCCCTGCATTCATTCTGATTCGGTGAGGGCAGGTTCAAGGCAGAGATGGGGGTAAGAACACCCACCGGCCGGGTGCAGAGAGGCTTGACTAGCAGGGTTCCAGGCCAAGTGTGAGTAGGGGCACACGTGACTCCCTCTCCCCGTCTGACTCAGAATAACCATCGGTGGAATTTGGAACTTGGAGGACTGTGTGGTCTCAGAACACAGGAGGAAGGGGAAGGGAGGTGGGTATGCACGGAGGGGGCCTGCGCCTGGGCCTGGGAGAAGTGGAGGAGGAAAGGGGGCAGTGGATGGGGTTAGCTGTATCATACTTTCCCTCAGAGGAACTGCTCAGCAGGTGTTACACAGCCAGGAGGCTGGGGAGAAGGGAGCGGCTTGGGTCCTGGGTGGGGCCTCTCGCCAATGGATGGGGGGATCCAGCCAGCAGTGGAAGGTGGTCTTCTGAAGAGATTAAAGGGCAGGCCCTGGAAGGGGTGCTAAGGCACTGGGGACAGTAGCCACTGACTGTTCCCACCCCAGGAAAGGAGAGGAAGCATAACCCTGGCACCTAGTGAGATTCGGAGTCCATTGGGGGCATAGCAGCAACACTGTAGTCCAGAGAGGAAATGGACCCCCTTTCATCCTCCCACCTGCTCATCTCCCATCCGCCGGACTCTGGAGGGGTGCTTGGAGAGGCAGCGGCTTTGGGGGCCTCCGGGGTTCCGAGAAGGGCAGTGAGGAAACTGAGGCATGTGGGAACTGGAACACCGCGACTGTAGGGACTTTAGATTTCATTCCAGCCACCTCTGGTGTCTTCTCTGCCCGGGGCTTCTCCAACAGTTTTCTCTACCTTATGGCTGCAGCATCCGACACCAGCAGCACCCAGAAATGCTTCCCATGGCTTTGTGGGAGGATGGTAAGGGGGACTCGCTCCCTGGGACTGATTCACCCCCGCCAGAGTGCCCCAGAGCACCCCACCTCTTAGAAGCTGTGGGTGGGTATTCGGTCAGGTTCAAACGACCTCAGGTTGCCTTCCCCACTGCCTGCTGCTGTGCCTCCTCAGTGAGGGTCCTAGTGGGCGTCAGGAAGGGGGCCTGTCTGGCCCCTGTCAGAAAGCGAGAGTGGTGCAGTGTCTGGGGGGACTGCAGCCACACAGGTTCGCTCTCACAGAGACAGTGCCTCGATTGTCCAGAGGGACACAGAGTCGGGGTGCTGAGGCCAGGTGCTGAAGTTGGTTCAGGAGTTGAGGTGGACCTGGGCCACGGACTGGTTGGGATGGCCTCCGTCCTTCCTGCCGCTCCCACCCTCCCGCCCAACACCGTGGGTACCCCCTGCCAGAAGCCCTACCCTTGCGCGTTCTGCGTTCCCGCTGCTGAGACCAGGATGCTCAGCTTGAGCGTAGGGATCTCATGGTGGCGCAGCTGCTCAGTGTGGGCGGCAAACGATCAGGCAAGAGAGGGCGGCTGTCCTCACCCCCATGGTGACCCTGCAGGTCTGCCTCTTTGGGAACTCAGAGGTATCGCTGAGAGACCACCTGCGGGCCGGAGCCTCTGAAGAGGAGCTGCTGGGCATCATTGGGGCCGCTGTGGGCAGGAAGAAGCGGCAGCATGCAGGTGAGGGGGACCACTGCCAGCGCAATGAGGGGCCAAAGGAAAGCTTGGAGGGGAGCCTCTGGGGCCCCTAGACTTGGGGTACCGTGATGGGGTACCCTGCCTTGGGGAAGTTGGCGAAACCCACCCAGGAGAGAGCTCCCTGGGCTCCGTGGGGAAGTGTCATGGGGTAGGGGGAGTTGGGTGCTTTTCCCATCCCTCACATCGCCTTTTCTCTGGGGGGCAGAGTTCTGGACCCCAGGACCTGCTCTAGGTGCTGTACTGTGCACTAGGGCTCAGTCAGGGGCCCTGGGGGAGCATGCTGCTCCACAGAGTCCATTGCTGGTTTCAGTGACCTCCCTTTCCCCACCCTCTCTCTCCCCCTTCCCCGCTGTCCTCACCCTCCCACCCTTCCCTCACCCCAGGCATGTTCAATATTTCCCAGATGAAGAACCGGCCCATGATCCTCATCGGTGGGTGACCCATCAGTACGTAACCACTCACCCTTGTCATTCGGAGACACCGTGAGGGTGGGGTCCCTGGGATCAGGCGCCTCCAGTTGATCCTGCATTTCACCCTGAATGCCTCATCCTAGTGTTTCTTTGCTCACCCCTTCCAGCCATCACTGCTTCTTCCCTTCCCTATCCCTGCCTTCAACATATACCCCGCAGGAATGATGCGCTGCTTTATCCAGAAATCAGGGTAGTGGTAGTGGGGGGTATCCTCCAGACTTAGGGTTAAGTCTTGGTTTTAACCCTTTTCCTTAGCTCTAGAATCTTCCTCTCTGTAGAACAAGTGGGTACCATCTGTGTCTGAGCCCTAGCACCCAGTAGATTGGGCAGTGTACTTTTATTCTTCTTTGCCACAGGGAGTTAAGAAGTGGCTCTCCATCCTAGCCAGGATCTCCATGACCTGAGTCCTTGACTCCTTGAGACTTCCCCAACATAGGTCACCTCTCATGTGTATGGGCTGCTTCCAGCAAAACCCCCTTTTGCCAAAGCCCTTTGTGATCTACAAACCTGGGGACTAAGGGACCAGACCAGGCAGAATGAGCTTTAGGGGTGATATTCCCCTCTGCCACAGCCCAGCGAGAGCAGGTGAGGACTTGCCTCCAGGACCACAGCCAGATCTCAGTCCCTTTATTGTTTCCCCAGGAGAAAGCAGTGAGAAAAACTAGGGGAAGGGATTATTTTCTCCAGAAAAAAAAAATAAGGGTTAAGTGACTCCAGTGTTAAGGGTTAAGTGACTCCAGTGGCCCAGAAGCAAAGAAGGCTGAAGTGACCTACAAATAGCCCAAGTTATCCCTGCACCTCCGCTTCCCAGAGATGGTAAGGAAGCTCCCTAAAATTCCCCATTGGAGAAACAACTTTATCCTCTCTCTTCATCCCTCATCTCCAGCATTGTGGTCTTCTTGTTGGACCTTGACCCTTATTCCTGTTGACACCCCCGATGGAAAGGAGGAGAAATACCTTGACATTCCCCCGGTAGGGAGGTTGCACCCCTGATGTTGACAAGACTGTGTACCCAGTGCCTGGTGTGAAGCTGCTTCCCAAGGCATATGGAGAACCTTAAGGACAGAGGAAGGAGTATGGTTTTTGGACAATCATGGGCTGGCTAAGGAGGGGCTTCTCAGCCTCCTTATGCGGATGAGTCACTTGGGGGTCTTGTCATTTGAGATTTGGGAGTGGGCTTCTCCAGCTCTTCAGCATTCGCAGTTGGCACCAGTATTGCTGGTCCTCAGACCACTCTTTGAATAAGAACTCTGCAAGATCCCTGTGATTCTTGGAACCATTTGAATTCTCCTGTCACTCTGTCCTTCTGCTTGAGGGAGCTTGTCAGATGTGATTGAATTAGATAAAAAAAAAATATGGCCCTAGCATTTGGTCCATAAATTTCAGGATTGCTATGGACTCTTCATGCTGAGACTGAAGATATAATAACCATACTTGGTTGATTCAGGTATAGACCCCACAGTTTTAAGAAAGTAAAGGGGCATGAAGGGCATCCTCTGGCCCAGACTTTAGTCCTCAGACCCCAGGTGCTTTAAAGAACTTAAATAGTGGCTGGAGCAATAGTACAGCGGGTAGGGCATTTGCCTTGAAAGTGGTTGAGCCAGGTTCAATTCCTGGTATCCCATATGGTCCCCTGGGCACTGCCAGGTGTAATTCCTGAGTTCAGGGCCAGGAATAACCTCTGAGCGTTGCTGGATGTGGCTCCAACATAAAAACAAAACGAGAGAGAGAGAGAGAGAGAGAGAGAGAGAGAGAGAGAGAGAGATGGAGACAGACAGATAACTTAGGTAGGACTAGAGAAACATTTCGGGAATTAGGTGCTGGCCTTGCACACAATCAACTCCAGTTAAATCTCAGGCACCACATATGGTCCCCCAAGCACTGCCAGAAGTGATTTTGAGTGCAGAGCTAAGGCTCAGCCCTGAGCACTGCCAAATGTGACCCAAAGGAAAAGAGAGAGCTTGGGCAAAAAGAAAGTTTGTGTGTCGGGGGGCCCAGTACTCCCTGCCACCACCATTACCAGGTCAGTGGAACACTGGTGGGGCCATTGTCCTGTCACATTGCTGACACCGGCTCCAGCCTTATGCTTCTGGGACTTCTGAGCTGCCTGTCTTCCGTTAGCTCTCTCCTTGTGCTTTTCATTCTTCACGCCTCTTTCCCCAGTGGGAGAGAGAGAACTCGGTGGAGAGAGGCCGGGAGAGGAGGGTCAACAGCCCTTCCTCAGACTCACGCTTTCTTCCATTCCCCTTGCCTTCCAGCGTGCTCTTGGATGCTCTGCGATTCCCCACCAGCCAGGCCGAGCATCTCTTCCTGGATCCCCTTCTGTGTGCAGGGTCACCGACACAGCTTCTCCAACAGAATGGGCACTTCGCAGAGAGGAGGCTCTGTCTCCCAGACCTCTTCCATCCCGAGCATTGCTTCCTGGAACCCCCTCCATGTTCAGGGTCTTAGACACAGTGTCTTCAACCAAATGGTGACTTCACAGAAGGGAGGCCGGGTCCCCCAGGCCTCTCTCTTTGCCCAGCAGTGGCTGGGTGCCAGCTCCCTCCAAAGACACTACAGTTTCCACCTAGACTCAGATGCCAAACCAGAGTGCCTTAGCCCGGGGTCCCAGGCTCCTGGCTGTGCCTCGGGACCCCCGCCAACCTCGGGGCAACTCACCCATGTGGATGCAGCAGGCCGGGCAGCCATGGTCGATGTAGGCAAGAAGCCTGACACTGAGCGGGTGGCCGTAGCCTCAGCCATTGTCCTTCTGGGGCCAGTGGCCTTCAAGCTCGTCCAAGAGAACCAGCTGAAGAAGGGAGATGCCCTGGCTGTGGCCCAGCTGGCAGGAGTGCAGGCAGCCAAGCTGACCAGCCAGCTGATCCCCTTGTGCCACCATGTGGCCCTGAGCCACGTTCAGGTCCAGCTGGAGCTAGACAGCATACGCCATGCCGTGGAGATCCAAGCATCCTGCCGGGCACGGGGCCCCACCGGCGTGGAGATGGAGGCACTCACCTCAGCTGCCATGGCTGCCCTCACCCTCTATGACATGTGCAAAGCTGTCAGCAGGGAAATCGTCATTGGAGAGATCAAGCTCGTTAGCAAGACTGGGGGCCAGAGGGGGGATTTCCATCGGACTTAGAGCCCTCTCACCTGTAGACCCACCAGGCAGAAGATGGGATAGTCAGGGCTCCAGGAAAGAAAGATGTCTAGTTTCTTTGGTTCTGTCTCTGTCCACCTTCACCCATAGGAGCCCGAGCCTAACCACCCTCCTCCTCCCCCGCAACTGCCTGATGGTCAGAATGACTCACCACATTTTCTTCCATTCATGTGCAAACCAGCCAGCCCCTTGGCCTTCCTGGACAGTAAGGCCATGCCAAGGGGTCCCTATAAGCAATACTGGGCAACTGAAAAGTCCCACTGTATCATTTATAGACTGTTGGACACAGCCACTCACAGAGTCCCAGCCCACCACTTCCACTTCTCACTGTGGGTTTTCTCTTCCTGCTTCTCTAGGGAGAGAATAAGGGCTCACTCGGCAGAGGAACCCACTTTGAGGAGGGAAGCACAGCTTGCAGTGCTTTGCCCTGGCGATTTCCCTTCTCCATCCCACTTTTGAGAGCCAGTGATCCCCTCCTTGTGCCTGGCCTGGTCCCCTCGAGCCAACAGGCTGTTGGTAGGTCACACAATCGCATCATCCTGCTGGCTGTCCCTGCCCCTCTCTGTTCAACAGGAGCAGCCTGTGCGGTGGGCTTCTGACTGGCCCCACAGCCCCACAGCTGCCCACACCCCTCTATGCTGGAACAAATCAGGGAAAGAAGGGAGTTGAGAACTCCACCCATGTGGCACACTAATAAAGTCATGACGCCAACTTCAGTTTACCCAGTTTCATGCTCATCCCTCAACCCCACCTCTAGGCCAACTCCCCCCGAGGCAGAACAGGTGTGACAGGGCACATTCTCTGTCTGTCACAGCCTCAGCCTGCGGGAGACGGGGGGCATGCATGGGAGGTACAGAACTGTACTGTCTGCAGTGCACTCTGCAGAGGCAGGGGCCAGGGATGGGGCTCAGTGACAGAGCACATGCCTGACAACAGTGCAGCCCTGGGGTCCATCCCCACCACACACCACAGATCTGTTCAGGGGTGGCGTGTCCAAAGCAGCAGATCCTCCTCACCAGCCCTTCGTGATCAGGGGTCTTGTTTAGGCTTTCCCATCCCCAAACACTAGACTTAACGTGTCTCTGGCAAGGAGCGCCACTGCCACCTGCCCCTTCTCTTGTGACCCATCAGTCCTACAGCAGGGCAGATGTTAAACACCGACTCAAAGGAAAAGTAAAGGCCAGATTCCATGGTCCAGATGGGCTTCAGAATCAGCTGGTTTTTGACCCAGCATCAGACTGGGGCTCAGGTGATCACCCAATTCACATCAAGACCTCCCACAGGAAGAAGGCAAAGTGTGTAGGCCCGCTGGGTGGGAAAGGTTTGGATTTAATATTTTTTAGTATTACAATATATTCTTGTAAAAAAAAAAGGTGCAGGTGAAAAGGACACCGCAGATTTTGTACATGTGCCTCATTTATCGTCTGAGACCGCTGGGGAGTGTGACCTCGACGCAAAGGCATCCCTGGCAGACTTGGAGGAGGGGGGTCCACAGTGGGTGGAATGGGTGGTGGGCAGAGGAACATCCCTTGATGGACTCTCCCCCACCCACCTGGGGTATGTTCTCCCCCCACCCACTGCACTTTACTTCCATTGCAGGGGAGGGGTGATTCTGAGAAGGGGTGAATTGCTTCAGGTTAACTGAATTTTACAATCGACACAAAATGAAACAGCTGGCAAAATCTGCCCAAAGGTGGCAGTGGCCAGGGCCAGGGCCAGGGCAGAGGGAAAGCAAGGCCTCGGGACAAGTACCATTGGTGTAAACATTGTGCACGTCCAGGGTTGGCTCACCAGCCCCTGTTGAGCAAGCCATGAGGGTCCATGGTCCAAGGCACTGTTGGAGATCCAGCTATACAGTGGCATCTGGTGCCAGAGCCACTGGCCAGATCTAGAAAATAATAAATAGAGAAGAAAAAAAAAATCTTTGGGGCAGGGGAGCTGAGAAGCCCTGGAACAATGCATGTGTCCTCTACACAGTTCGGGAAAACTCTTCTTGGTTCCATTGTGTCCGTCAGCTTCCACCTTCCTTCTCCGTGTGTATCCTGTCTTCCGTGGTGAGTAGCAAGGCCAGGGCTGGGATAGACCTGTGGAACAGAACCAGAGCCCCTTCCCCACCCCGTGCTGCTCCCTGCCCAGCCTGACCCATTTTCGAGAAGCCTCGGAGAGGCCCCGCCCTTCTGTGCCAGCTTCTCGGTTGGCACGGGTACAGCAAAGCCCCAATGAGGCTCTTCCAGGAGCCTTCGTCTTGCCCTCCCTGGGGTCCAGGATAGGTTCTCCACTCCAGGTCAGGCCCGCCCTTAGATTCCCTTCCCCTCGAACCAACACACATGCGGGGCTCATCAACACGTCCGACACCCCACCCCCCACCCCCAGCCTCAACCGCTGTGGTCCCAGCCCCAGGAAATCTGGTATAACTGAGAAGTGGGCCCAGCCCACCAGTCTGTCCACTGGCAGTAGCCCTGTGCCAGAGGAGCAGGATGAACAGGGAGATAGCAAGGGGAGGACATCAGGAAGAGAAGAGTGAGGACCTGGGTCTGAGAAGGGACAAAAAGCCAACTTGCATGGGGAGCACACAGGGACAAAGGCCTCTCCTTAACCAGGGAGAGGACTTGCCACACAAGAAGAAAGGATGAGGATGGAGGGGCTGGGAGGGCCAGAACAGACTCCTTGGGGGAACTCAGGTTGAAGAGCATAATCAAGTAACCAGCAGAGGCTTTGGGACCCCGTTCTCAGACTTTCACGCTTGACCCCGCGGGCAGCACACTGTCTTGAAAGCTTCCTCGGTCTGCTCTGCTGGGGTCCCCCCAACCCCAGTGAAGGCTTTAGAGGAGGAGATGCTCCAGCCATGGCAGGGAACAGGGAAACCCTGGTCTCTGGGGCCCTCTCGGGTGCTGATGGCCCAGGGACCAGCCCAGGGTACCAGGTGGGAAGTGGCCTGGAGGCTGCACCGACTCTGTGATGGCTCCAGCCAGAGGCTCCCTTGGGCCTTGGGTGGGGGCGGGGGGGGGGGGTGGGGGGGGATTGCCTCCTGAGGCTCCCCAGGGAATGAAGCGTTCACGTGCTGCCCTCTAGTGCGAGGCTGTGGGAAGGCCTGCTCCCCAGGAGGCGGCTGTCTCCCCACCAGGTCTGGTTTCAAGGGGGAGGCAGGAGGAGTCCCCCAGCAGAGGGCCTCACACCCAAGGCACGAGGTGTGACCACTGGAGGCTTTCTGATCCCCTTCCTTATGGGATTCAGCAAGCATCTGCAGGGGCGGCAGGGCCCCAGAGTGGGTGTTTCTGGGCTCCAGCATGAGGAGACAAGGCGATGGTGGAGGAGGGCATGGAGGCCTGTGTCGTGCGGAACAGCCAAGGCCCCCGGAGTCCTGATCCCTCGGTCCTGCATCAACCTCTTCCCCCAGCACAGACTCCCTCTTCCCTCTCCATCAGATGCGAGGCCCGTGCCCTCCTGCCCATAATTGTTCCACTCTGCTCCTCTTGAGATGGGAGCAGAGACTCCTCCTCCTTGGATCTCAACCCTTCCCCTCCTTCCCGCCAAGTTTCTTCTCCATCGCGCGCATGAAATCTGGACCAAGCCCAGGAATGACTGGTCTTGATCTAGAATCATGCTGGGCCCACATGTGGGTGCCTCTCGGGGAGGGGCAATGGGGGTTAGCAGGACCCTTCTTCTGTGGGGCCTTGGAGGGCACGTCCCAGTCGGTCTGAGAAGCCCCCGGGGCGAGGGGGAGTCCGAGGATGCAAAATGAAGCGTGGGAAGAAGAGGTGAGTGGGGCAGCTGGTCCTGCCACACCCCCCCCCCCCCCCCCGCCCATCCCGCCAGGCTTGCCCAGGGCCCAGCCCCAGGCCTGCAACCCAGCACCAACTGTGTCGGGGTCGCAGGCAACTCCCCTCGCCCCTCCAGTCGGGCCCCCAAGGCCGGTCCCGCCCCCGCAGGTCCCCGGTCAATAATTTAGCCTATTAATCGCTCGCTCCCGGGTGGCTTCCAGGGCCTGGCTCCCAGACCGCTTGCGGCTGCGCTTGAGCTTGTTTAAGTCCTTGTCGAAAACCTCCCCGGAGCGCAGGGCGGACACCAGGTCGTCGAACTCGCCGCCCTCCTCCAGCGCGCTGCCCGCCAGCACCTTCCGCTGCCGCTGCCAACGCTCCCGCTCCCGCTGCTCCTTCAGCTACAGGGGGAGGACCCAGGCAGGCTGGCACCGCGGTGGGAGGGGCCCGAGCTGCCCCCCCCCAGGTGACCCAGGCACCCTCCCACAGGCCGGCTCCGGGCCTTCCCCCTGCCCCACGCAGGTCCTGCGGCCACAGGCGGGCCTGCCACGCTGACACCAGACCTGCGCTGCTACTCAGTCACTCCCTAGCTGCTGCAGCCCTAGCCCCTCTCTCCCTCGGCGCCCCTCCCCCCTCGCCCCCTGCCCCTCACCATGGCCTCCATCCGTGCTCGCCTCTCCTCCTCCTCCTTCTTCTTCCTCATGGTCTCCAGGTCCTGCCGGGCCTCTAAGAAGGCCTGCAGGAAAGTGTCAAAGATTCCGAAGAATTCATCTGGCTGCATCTTGCTGTCATGCTCCCCAAAGTGCATCAGGGCCTGGGAGAACTGTGCAGGGGAGAAGCATGGGTGGGAGTTAGCTGTGAGTGGACGCAGGCCCTGTGCAGATCTGAGAGTCAGCTGGAGCCCACATGGGGCCTGACGTCTGGAATCTCGGTTAGGGCTGGAGAGGAGAGAACCTCCTTACCAGCCATCTGGGTGAGACTGAAGAAGCAGCTCAGGGCGGATGCCTGCGGGATCCAGAGCTGATGGGCAGCTGGTCCAGAGGCCCCAGTAGCTCCATCAGGGTACAGGTGTAGAGAGCGGCAGGCCTTGGCAAGGAACTGCCCAGTCAAAACTCTGTTCTAATTCTCAGTTCCAACTCTAAAATGCCTCAGTTCTAACTCTAAAATGCCTCAGTTCTAACTCTAAAATTCCTCTTCTGTGAAATAGGAATGGATGGGGTAACAAAACCTACTTCATGTGTTGATGGAAGGTGTCAGATCCAACTGGGCACTGTTCTTTTCTTTCTTTCTTTCTTTCTTTCTTTCTTTCTTTCTTTCTTTCTTATTGAATCACTATGAGATACAGTTACAAAGCTTTCATGATTGGGTTTCAGTCATACAATGATCGAACACCCATCTTCCACCAGTGCACATTTCCCACCACCAATGTCCTCAGTTTCCCTCCCACCACCCCCACCCCAACCCCTGACACTATGGCAGGCACTTTTCTTCTTACACTCTCTCTCTCTCTCTCTCTCTCTCTCTCTCTCTCTCTCTCTCTCTCTCTACTTTGGGGCATTATCGGGCACTGTTCTTTTACTGAGATGCCATGCCTGATCTGCCTACCCTATATCCTTTCAGATAGATCTCCCTTTTCAAACTGCTCCCTGGCCAGTGGCACACATACCCCATCTACTGAGAACTGGTGAGAAAGTGACATCTGAGCCCTTACATCCCATTTTCATAAGACCCTCCCAGAGGTGCAGGATGTTCCCTGTGCAGGTCAGATGGAGCAGCAGGAAGAGGCTTTGAAACTGAAACTGGAGCTAGCCTCCAGGGTCAGGACCTTCACCTGACTCTCAGCCAAGCAACTCTGGACCAATTATTTAAGCTCTTTGGATTATAATGCCCATAGCAGTCAAATAGAATAACAACCTGTCAAAAACTCACAAGCTGAGCAGTAAGAAAGACATGTGCAATCCTCAAGAGTGTTGGCTGACCCCTGAGAAATGTACTGTGTGGTCTTGACCATGGATGACTATTACTTTGCTTGTAGGGGCGAGAACATTGTTTTTCCATGAAGCTCTGTGGCTCAGGGTTTGTCCTCTCTTAGTCGTTTGTGGTAGGAACAGATGAAGGGGCTGCTGGTTAAGTTGGGGGTCAGATAAGCTCTTGGTCACCCCTTACCTTATCCCTGGCCTCAGTGAGTTGATCTTCCAACTCTGAGAAGCTGAAGCTGGAGACAGTGATGAAGTCACTCATGACTGGGACGAACCTGTCATTCGGCTCCCGAAGCTGGTGTTTCTGATACTCCAGTTCCTGCGGAGGGAGAGTGAGGGGCTGGCTAGACCTCAGCCAGGATGCCTAAGAATTCCCACATCTTTTACCCCTCTGGCTGACCACAAAATATGGACCTACCTTCAATTTGAAGTGTGGGGAAGGTGTGGGGGCTAGAGCTGAAAGGTAGTAGTCACAGCTTACTCCCAGTGTACTTAGGGGGAAATTCAGAGCCAGAGATTGATCCTGGGGTCAACTACAAACAAGGCAAGTGCTTCCGGCGCTATCTATCTGCTACCAGAACTGCCTTCAGAAGGGGGAGCATGTCGAATCTCGAGACCCTGAGAGATTGGCAGTGCTCTTGCCCCCACCCTCCCCCTCCTCATGGCTGCCTCTGCTTTCCTCAGCACCCTCACACCCCGCACCCTGCAGTGTGGTTTGGTCACACAGCAGCCTTGCGTTGGGAGGTTGGACAAAAGACATACTAACTGGCACATACCCAGAATCTGAAGCAAGCCCCTCAGGCAGTGCATGTGAAGGCTAAACGTGGGTTGCATTTCCAAGTCTCCTTGCTGTCAAGGACATGGCTAACCCATAGGTCAGGCTTGAGGGAGCACTTTGAAAACTATAAAATTGGAAATAGCCCGCTGCCTTGTGACAAGGACATGTTCTTCCCCTTTCTGAATCTCTTTCTCTAATCCCCAAACTACCCTCACCACCACACACTCACATACTCAGACACACACACACTCACTCATTCACAGAGTGAAGATGAAAAATCTCTCATTCCTAAGTGTGGGAAACAAAGAATTGGAGACACCCCCCACAAGGGGCCAGAAAGAATGTTGTCAGAAAGGCTACCCAAACAGCAATGGGGGCCATCAGCAGGTGGGGACTCCAGCAGGATGCAGTCCAGGGACCACCACTGGCTCAGGACAGAGATAAAACATAATTTTCCAGGGTCACACTTTACTCCCTGCTCCTAGAAACTTCCAGAGATCTTCTTTCCCATCCACCTGAGACCAACATGATCAGGTCACACTACGGCCCCACAGACATGCCAACAGGGTCGCACCCATAGTCTATCCCCCCGCCCCCTGCCGACACCACACACACCGCCCCCTCTGGAAGTCTGAATTAAAGCCCTTGATAATCCAGTCATCCTGTTCTGAGGACTGACTCTGCTTGCAGCTGTGCCCATTGTGAAAGCTGTTCTAGTGCTGAGCCTGGAGCTTGGGGTCACATGAGCCCCTTTTATGGGGTCTGCAATCTGGGCTTCACCATCTGCCCAATGACAATCAGTACACACACAAGCAGCCAGGGCTGGGTACTCACCACCTCGACAGCTCTGAGCCCCATCCTGAGGTTGCTCACCTCCTTCTCCAGCTCTGCCAGGCTGTGGGGGGACAGAGGGAGGGGCGGGCACTGAGGGTGGGCAGCACAAGGATCCGTGACTGCGTGTGGATCTGACCCCTCACATGTGGTCGGGAATTCCACCTCTTCTTGCTCTGTTCATCCTGCCAATTCTGGATGGAGGCTTCCAGATCAGTAGCTTTCCAACACTTGGCTTCGGGCTTGGATTTATTATCAGCAGGCAGTGCTTGTAAGCTCTTAGCATGGTGTGTTTTACATATTATCTGTGTATTTCATTTTTCTAGTTCACCATCCCATTTTTGGTTAGTTGTGGGGGTCGTACCCAGCAGTGCTCTGCTCTGAGGGCCAAGGTGTTCAGGTGACTATGTAATCCTGATGTCAAACCAGGGCCTCACATATGCAAGGCAAGTATTCCACCACTTAGGTCACATGCAGCCCCTAATTCCCTTTTCCCTCTTAAAACTGATTTTCATGTGTTTGCTGAATAAATTACAGAATATCAGGGGTAGGCTCAACATCTCTGGTACATAGGATTCACCACACCCTTCCCCAACTTCCTCCTCCCCTCCTCTCTTCCTGTCTCCTCTGACAACTCTATAGACTTCACTGAGTCTGAGACTTTTGTTTTAATACAGTGAGTTGAGTGTCGTCAGCTTCTGTTGTACACTAGCTATTAATTTTCCCCAAGGCAGGTCCTGAGACACTGTCCATTTCTCACTAGCTGCCCCCTAGAGGAGGAATTAGACAAGAGTGCATGTGACCCAGCTTTGGAGGAACTAATGACTCACTTGACTTTGGCAGCTTCTGGAAGATGCTGCAGCTCTGAGGGCATGTTCAAGATGTCCGGAAAGTTCTTCTCCAGGATCATTATCAGGTAATGGAGCAGAGAGATGTTTCTGTGGAGAAAAGTTGGGGCAGGGGTCAGAATCAAAGGCAATAAAGAATTAAGGACAGGGGACGTTGGGGTAAGGTGTGAGGAAAAAGAGGTTGACAGGTTAGGTGTTGGAAGTGGATGAAGGTTCCAGGGACAGAGGGGAGAAGCCAGGTGGGTAAGAAAGCAGAAGGGCCACCTGTCAATGCTGGACTTGGTGTCAGCGATCTTGTTGAGGCTGGCCACCCGGAACCCGTAGGCGCTCCCGCGCTGCCCTTTGTTCATGAAGTTGCCGATGGCGAGTACGACCTCCAGCATCCGCATCAGACGCTTGCTGAGGATCAGCTCCTGGGAGGCCAGCAGGATGGCTGGGGGAGAAAGGGCTAATCAGCACCCCATGCAGATGGGGCCAGGGCCACTGTTGCCTGGGGCCAGGACAGTCTCACTCCCGAGTCTAGGGAAGAAGCTGTAGGAGCTGTTGATGTGTCACTCTTAAAGGAACAGAGCTTATGCTTACTCCTCAGCAGGCCCCTCTACTCAACACATGCTCCGTGGTGTGGGTGGAGCAGAACCAGAGCAAACTTAAAATGAACTGATTTGTCCAAAAGCCCATTCTCAGAATAGACAAACTCCTCATTCAGTATATACACAAGGGTGTCTCTTGCCTGTATTTCTATTTTTTTTTCCCTTTGGGTCACACCCAGCGATGCTCAGGGGTTACTCCTGGCTCTGCACTCAGGAATTTCTTCTGGCGGTGCTAGGGGCACTATATTAGATGCTCGGAATTGAACCTGGGTCAGCCACTTGCAAGGCAAATGTCCTACCTGCTGTGTTATCACTCCAGCCCCATTGCATGTATTTCTAGACTGTAACTGCATCTTTTCTATGTTCTACACATGTATTAGTGAACGTAATGCTACTATTTCCCTTGATCTAGTGATTGAATATTAACATTTACAGTGTTGGGCTGGAGCAATAGCACAGCGGTAGGGCATTTGCCTTGCACGCAGCCAACATGACCGACCTGAGTTCGATTCCTCCGCCCCTCTCGGAGAGCCCGGCAAGCTACCGAGAGTATTCGATATGCCAAACACAGTAACAACAAAGTCTCCAATGGAGACGTTACTGGGCCCGCTCGAGCAAATTGACGATCAACGGGAGGGCCTTTACCTTTACCTTTACAGTGTTGCCAGCGTATTATGGTGACTGTGCTTGCCTCTTTGAAGTGCTGAAATTTATTGGCTTTTGGAAAGAAAAATATCAACCTATCCTCACTTGTAACATGTAAGATATCATTCTCTTTTTTTAAGGTATTGGTGTGCTTGGGGCTGGAGAGATAATACTGTAGGTAGGACATTTCTGTTGTATGCAGCTGATCCAGCTTTAATCTCTGGAACCCCATACGGTCCCTCGAATCTATCAGGAGTGATTGCTGAGTGCAGAACCAGGAGTAAACCCTGAGCATCACTAGGTATGGCTCAAAACAAAACAAAAAATATATTGATGTGCTTTACATTTATGTGGCTTAGATTCATTAAATTTCTGTTTGATGTTACATTTGATTATCATATAACAATTTTACCCAATCTTTAGGAATTTTAACATTTATTCCCCCTCAAAGTCTTAAATATATTTGTTCAACAAATACATTCTTGTTACAATACAAACTAAGTTGGATAATAATCAAAATATCAGTATCTCATTCTCAAGTGAATTAATGAGAAAAAAGTACAGCCCTTCCTCACCCTAGTGAGGTGCAGAATTAGAGTACCTCTTGTATGCCAAAATTCTGGTTGCAGTAATGCAGTGAGATTTTTGATGATTATATGTGGTGGCAGAGTCTCCTGCCCCCACGCCTGGCTGTCCTTGACAGGGCCCCTTGCAGGGGGGCAGGTTGAGTTTCCCTCCCTGCCCCGAGCAGAACTCGGGAGCTGAAGACCTCCAGAACCAGCCACAACCATGCTGAGACCACTCTCCACACGCATGAAGGTACTGGCAGAGGAACAAAGGCATGTGGGTCCCAGAGCTGAGATCTCCAAGCCTGCTCGGATCGGGGCTGAGCATCCCCCACCCAGATCCTCCATCTTCCAGTAGGCAGGGGTCACACTCACCAACTGGACCCCTGGTGCCGTGTAATCCCATTAATGTCCAAGACCCAGAGACTCTAAAACCCAGCTCCCGACATCTTATTATCTCATTCTTACTTTGGACAACCTAGCAGGCTACCAAATGTAACCTGCCCACACGGCAGAGTCTGGCAAACTCCCCATGGCGTATCCAATATGCCAAATACCAGTAACAATGATGGGTCTCATTCTTCTAACCCTGAAAGAACACTGAATATGGCACTTTTTAAAATCTCAGGGCTAGGAAAAAGGAGATGTTACTGGGGTCTGCTTGAGGCAATCGATGAACAACAGGATGATCGTGATCCTGATCGTGATATGTAGTGGTTAAGAGACCAAACCATTCCCTCATCTTTGGCTTATAACAATCTGAGACTTCCGCAACATGCTGCAATAAAAAGATAAAGTAAGAACCTGGATGGAAATTTTTCAGAAATATTCAAAAGCATTAAAAATAATGAGTAAGAGCCTATAAAATGACAAATAAGGTCTGTCTATAGCTACAAAATCTGAGTGTATTCTAGAACCTAGCAGTACCTTTCATCTGGATGGAGTCTTAGTTGCTATTCCAGTGATTTTCTTTTAAATCACAAATAGGTTGGTTAAATTAATTATAGAAGATTAACACAATAGTACAAAATGCAGCACTGAAGGGAATATGCCACTGCCATATGTAACAATAGGGATAATTGCATACAGGATGCACAAGAAACCAGCAGATGCTTCAACTATGTGATTCCATGTCAATAAAATTTAAAACAGATGCAAATAATTTGCAAGTCAGGATGGGTGTTAGCTTTTGGGAGGAGAGAGGGGACCTGAAGAATGGCTCTGGGTACGTTCCTCATTCTGACCTGGGTGTTGATTACATAGGTTACTTCACTAGGATGAGTCATCAAGAAGGACTCTGATTTGTTTGCTTTTCACGGGCATATTTCAATGAAAAGCTAACTTAAAACGCTTATCAAAAGTGTCTGACAATAGATATTGGTTGAGATAGATTTTCTAAGGTTGATATGCTTAATTTTTAAAGAAATCCTCCTAAAAATGCTAAAACGTTGACAAAACAGAGAATGACAAAGGAAATCAGGATGTGTGAGAAAAGTCCTATATGCAATGTAGGCATTTTAGGGCCATTCATAAGAATAATATATTCATGACTATATTCATAAGAATATGTTTACATTTGAAACCATATTCATCCTGACTACATTTAGTGAATGTGTTCTTAATGAGATTGGGTAAATTTGGCATATTCAGCAATGAACATATTCATAAAAAGAATATATTCAACAAGAATATGTTCATGAATATATTCATATTCATGGATGAATTGGAAAATTTTTCAAATTTGGTGAATTGACAGATTGAGGTTGTAGGTCCAGGGATAGATTAAACCTGAACTCCTCCCTCGGGGACTGAACGAGCATAACTTTCAACTCCCACATGATCTTTTCTCCACCACTCATCAAGCCCTCTAACCCTCTAACACACTCAAGCAACCTCTTTCCAATTCCAGGAGAAGAAAGACCTCCAGATCATTCTAGAACAATGGTTCTTGCTATATCAAGGAAATTGTCTCACCACTCCCAAACATGCTTGCTTAGTTTGACATTAAAGATATTTCTCTTTGCATGCATGCTGAAAGTAGAATATAGACTGAACATGATTGCCACTCAATTCCTCTTTTGCAAACCACAGCACCCCAAAGGAGAGAAAGAACAAAAGGGAGTGCCCTGCCACAGAGGCAGGGTGGATGGAGGGATGGGGGGTGGGAGGGATACTGGGATTAGTGGTGGTGGAGAATGGGCACTGGTGGAGGGATGGGTATTCGATCATTGTATAACTGAAACCCAAACACAAAAATTTGGAAGTCTACAAATGTACCTTATGGTGTTTCACTAAAAATATTTTTTAAAAAAGATATTTCTCTTTGTTTATTGATTGACCAATTAGGGAGAGTTTAAGAGTGCACTCTCAGAAGCAGGAAATTATTTGAGATCAAAGCTACTTGATGGTTACTCTAATTACATATCTTTAAATGACAAGTTGGTGATATTTGTTCCATTGACTCAGAAAACACACAGAATTGAGCATATAGGTCTGGGGTGAACTTCTTATCTGTGTCTCATACCCCAAAGACAGTCTGCAGCAGGACAAAGAAACTTGAGGGTGCAGTGAAGGATCAGCCAAACACTAAGGCAGGAGATACCACCACAACTTACATCAACAAGTCGCTGCTGGGTTCCTCCTCTCTCAAATCCCTGGTCTATGATCAAAACAAGCCTGCAGTTCCTGTGGCTATTGCAGTGATATGTGTCTACCTCCAGCTGTCACACTCCAGAACATCCCATGAAGCAGCTCGTGCTAAGTGTCCTGCAGAGGGGACCCATGTTCTGCTCTGCCTCTAATCTATCCCCCACCACCATCCTGGAGACAGGTTCCCTTGTTCTACCATGTTAACTCCTGGGAGTGCATGGCTGCCCTCCTGCATTTTCTCCCAAATTGTATCTCCCCTTTCCAGTAGTAGTTCCAGTTTCTGGGAAGTACAACAGGACAAGAGTGAAGGTATGAATTCTAAAGCACAGCATTAGAATCTCCATCTTAGTTCCACCACCCACCAGTAACATGGCCTCAGACAACATTGACCTATTTTTATAGATGAGAGAATGGACTACAGGATTGTTGACTGTCCACATGGAGTGTTACACATTGGTGGAGTGTTACAGCTTGGTGCATGACTCTGTGTGTGTGTGTGTCTGTGTCTATGTTCTGTGTGTATCTGTGTATCTTTGTGTGTGTGTGCTGACCGGGGTGGGGAGACGTGTTTCATGGATGAAACCCAGAGCTTCAGACATACAGTATGCCTTCTACCATGGAGTTACATCCCTGGACACATGGTTCCCTTCTAATGTCAAAGTTCTCATCTGAAAAAGACCATGTAAGGGGTGGGGGAATCGTCTCAAAAAATTGTCTCCCAAATTACCTTGCCTGAATTCCTACTTTCTAAATAGCTCACATTTAAAATGATCTTAGTACTTGGGGAGCAGAGTGAACATTAATGACTTCGTTAGGTTCTAGGTGATTGCTGTGGTCATCATTAGCCTGCTCATGCTTACAATCAATCTCAGATAACTGCCTGCTCCCAGGCAGGCTCCCAATCACCTTTTTAACATTTCTTCTCCACTCGGGGCAGATGTCAATCAATGTTCCTTTGGGGAGAGGTGAGTGCAGAGGCACAGAGAAAATGCCCATGAATGGTAGTGGCTGTGCTGTGTAGATCTAAAATAATCAGTTTAAAGTTTTGCCCTTGCCTTTAATTTTCAGTGGGGGGACTGAGAATAAGGAAGAAACATGCTTCTATTCCCCTGCTCTCTGACCTGTGCCTCATCTCCCCGATGCCTCTGCATTCTAGCGCACCCTCATCCATACCTTCCACTTTGGGTTTGGCCTCAGCCAGCCGCTCCTGAAACTTCTTCTTGAAGAAGAGAGCCTGTAGTCGTTGCTGGTAGTGGTCAATCCTGCAGACAGAATGAGCACCATCAGAAGGAACCTCCCCCAGGTGAACCCCAGGCGAGCTTCATCTCCCTCCTTGCTCTGCTGAGGCCCAACCCCTCTGCATCTTGCTTCTCCAACCTGCTCATTTCATACAGGAAGCGGTCAGCTCGGGCCATCCTCTCGATCTCATGCTTGTGCTCTTCCAGAAGGTCCACGTCACCCTTCTCTGGGATAAACTTGAGCAGCTGCAAAGGGTACGTGAGAGTTAGATGGTGCACAATGGGGAAACTGATATGATGGCACACAGTGTCTAATAGAAGCCCACATACTGGGCTTACGATGGCGATGGGGTCTGGAAAGCAAGAGGTCTCCACATGTGGCCAGGTTCAGACACTTATGCTCTGCTCAAGGGCACACTGATGCCCAGATCTAAACCTCCTTCCCCCCTGTTTTTATCTGTCATGAAATCAAACTATTCATACCGTACACTTATCTTATTTGTACACTCAATGATTTTTTATTTCTAAACCAACTTTATTGAAAAAATAATTTACATAAGGTAAAACTCCATTTAAAATGTGCAGTTCAATGAATTTTAACAGAACTATCCACCCACTCATCCCCACCCAAAATGAAATATAGATGATTTCTACCCATTCAGGAAGTTCTGTGGTGCTATTTTAATAAATTACGCCTTCACCTTCTACTAACATAGCTTTTCAACTCAATTCTGTCACTTTGGATTGATCAGCTTATTCTTGAATATCATAACAATAACTGGATTTAGGCTGAGTTATGCTCTTTGGTGTCTTGCTTCAATTATTTGATATGTTTGTGATTCATCTATGTGCATGTTGTAAGCATTGGGCTGCTTCTTTTGATTGGTTCTTACTGCACACTGGGTTGTTCATTTTAGAGGCTTTAGAAGTAATAAACATGTTATATTTTGTGTACTTTTGGGCATCAGTATACTATACTCATTTATTTTAAGTATACGCCTAAAGGTGGGATTTCTGTGTAATAAGATAGGTGGATATTTAGGCTTCTAGTTTTCCAAAATCATTGTACCAATGAGAATTCCAACTTTTCACACCTTGTCAACACTTGGCTTTTCTGGACTTTAAATATTAACAGTTATAGTGAGTATGTGGTGCTGCCTATAATTCAAAGTATTTCCTGTGTGACTAAGGGTATTGAGCACCTTTCCCCACATTTATTCAGTGACTAGCATTATTGAACCATTTGGAAATTCTCTCTTGTGAAGTATCTGTTCAAGTCTTTCATCATGCAAAAATTGTTCATTACTTCCTCGTGGACTGTAGAGCAATTTATTCTAAACATTAGATCTGATATGGATCCACATGAGTCAAATCTCTTCTAAAGTTTTTTTTCAACCCCTAGAAATAGAGCCTTTTGAAAAGCAGGGCTTATTTTAATGAAATTCATTTGATGGTGGTTTTGTTCAGTGGTTTCTGACTTTTTACTGAAAGGCCTAATAAACTGAGGTAAGAAAAATGAGAAAGAATAAAACTGTGGGTTACTCTGACTTTGCCTTAAAACCTTGGAAGATTCTACCACTTTTCCTTGGGCAATCTCAATTCCCAGGATGATATACCACCTTCTCTGCCTTTCTCTCAGAAAGGTCAGCCCAGGGAGGTTTGAATAAATACTCTGCTCCTAGGCTCTTCCTCCGTTCAGGTTTCTCCCTGACCTGAGTTTCAGTCTCTCTGGGGTTTATAGAAGGGGCAAATGCCATCCCTGAGGTTCAGCTCCCTTCCCTTGCCTTCTTGGGGCTCACCTGTTCCAGCATGTCCTTAGCCAGGTCCTCCTGTTCGTCCATCCTCAGAATGGCCTGCCGGATCTCTTCATTTGAGAGCTTCAACCTAAGGCAACACTTGCCCTGAGCAGCCTGGCCTGGCCTTATGGCTCAGCCCTGACTCCCAACTACCTTTTCCAGGAGACAACTCCTTCTCCCCATCCCTCTTCACTTGGGAGTACTCCCTGATCACCTCATCTGCCAAGCCTTCTCAGACTAAACCAAAGCAATTATCTGCACTAAATCTGTATGATAAATTTGTCTAAATGGAGACCAAAATCTCAGGTTTCTTGCTGGGGCTTTCATCAGACCTGAGAGGGACATCTAGAATACAAAGCCCAACTCTGGCGTAGACTAAGAAATGATTTCTGATCCTCTCTCCTCATGCCTAAAATAGCTGCAATATCCCTTGGGGAAAGAGAACAGGGGCAATTTCTCTTTCTTTTTCTTTCTTTCTTTCTTTCTTTCTTTCTTTCTTTCTTTCTTTCTTTCTTTCCTTTCTCTCTTTCTTTCTGTCCTTCTTTCATCTTTCTTGAAAGACAGAATGACTCTTAGTCCTAACTGAAGGTTCCGTTCTACCTGGGAAGGGGGACGGCGCCCCACCACCTGGTCAACTCCCCCATAGCCCTTCCCCTCCATACTAGCCCTGGGGACACAGAACTCTGTCCCCATTACAAGGGAGACACTGAAGGCTGAAGAGAAGGGTCTTGGATGTCCTCAGACCTACTAGGTAGGCTGGTACTAAGAATAGTCCAGGAAGGATGACCTCTGCCCCAGCTCAGCCAGAGGCCAACTTGATCTGTGAGCACAGACTGGCTGTTTGTTCTGCAGCTGCAGGGATGCTTAGGAGCTAAGTGGGATGCTCTGCATGCTTAGAGAGAGTCTTGCAGTGACTGCAGGCCAGCCTGCACAGGGCACAAGCGCTTAACGTCTCCAAGCACGGGCTCCAGCAAGTGCCTCTCCCACATCCTACATCCATTCCTAGGGGATAGGAGGAGGACGAGGACAGAGATGGCTACCACCCCATCTTCAGTCTCTTCCCAGGACATTCCGTTCCACTGACTGCTCTGCTCTTGCTCCAACTCAGCTCCCTCCCACCGGAACACTATCACAGACCCCTAAGGCCACTGAAGAGTACCTACTTGGAGAGAAGGATGATGCAGTTCTGAGCCCTCCGGCCATCGATGACTGAAAGTTCTTTGACCTTGCGGGAGGCCAGGTAGATGTCCTCATTGGACCCAAGCTCTTTCTGCAACTGAAGATTCGAAAGGAGTGGTTGAGGTGTCTATTCTCCCCAATCCTCACCCCACACACACCCCATCATGCATGGGCCACCCCCTACCAACCAGAGAATGTCCCTGGTTTTAGAGGGGAAAAGAGAAAAAGAAGAATAGGGAAGTGGTTAATAATCAACTCTAATAGAAAGTATCTGGGCTAGGGTATGTTGAGGAACATCTCCCCCCCCCCCCCCCATTTAAAAGATTGCCCTCTCTGAGCAAACTGAGAAAGGGCTATGCTAAGGGGAGGAACCAATACTTCTGGTACTGCAGTATGATCTCCATATCCCTCACACATCCATTTCCCCTCACCCCATCCTACCCCAGAAAGCCTCCCCAAGCTTAGGGTGAGAAGTTGGTTCCAAGTCCCCTTAAAACCAAAGTTCCTGGACTCTTAGGGACCTCGGTACAGCCAGAATGACCAAGGCATTTAGAATTTCAGAGGTAGGGAAAGCATACCTTGTGGAATTTCCCCTTCCAGCAGGCAGTCCCAGAAAAACTCACACCCCACTCCTGTCCCTTCTCTAGGGGTTCTTGTGAGGTGAACTGGAGGCTGGCTTTCTCCCAGCCCAGCTCCACGTGGCATATGCCCAGGGGCTGCCTGCCATTCTATCAGTGTCTCGGTGCATTGGGCACTTGAATTTTCTCGCAGACAGTCTTGTCTGGCATTGGGGGGGGGGCTGGGGGCGGTAAGACAACCCTCCTCAGAGTTCTCCCTGCAGTAGACACTCACCTCCATGTCTAAATATGGAAGTCTACCTGAATTCCCTCCTTTACCTCCCTTCATCTTTTCTTTCTGGGGTTCCTCCCTTCTAGATCCTTGTACGGATGGGTAGAAAGGCAGAATATATAAAGAATAAGTCCTCTCTTTGGGAGCAGCAGACCAGGTCAGTGGTTAAGTGGGAGAATGTCCCGAGCCCCAGGAGTGACTCACCTGCTGAGAGGGATTAGTTATCAGCTCCTAGGCAGGCAGCAGCCACAGCCGATAGAGAATTAAACATGCACAATATTAGCCAGGAGACCCATGAACATTAGGAGACTCGAGCACCTGAGCACTTATTTGTCCACCCATCCCACAGCGCCCCCCTGTGGCTGCAGAGAGAGACCCCCCCCAGTAGCACCTGGCTGCAGTGGCTTGGAGCGAACATGCACTTGAAAGAAGCCCAACAAAGCAGGGAGCAGACAGCCTCTCCTACCTCCCATGCAGGACAATCCCACTGTCCCCTCCCCCAGCCACACCTGGGTCTAAGCTGCCAGTCCTCGATCCCCCCTGCTGGGAAATGCTCTGAGGCAGAGTGCATGCCCTGGAGGAATTTATTTTTCTAGATGGGGGGGGGGGAATAGAGCAATGAATTTGAGATGGGTGAGAGTGAAAACTGAACCTGGGGCAAGGGAAAGCCTTGGATTTCACACCCTGCCCTCAACCCCAAGTGTCTGCTCTATCATCAGTGGGGCAAAGGCGGGGCCAGAGATGACACCAGATGAGCTTGCTACAAAGCCGACTCCTAGGTGCCGGTGCATCTCCCGATTTACATGGGTTTCAGGATGAGACCCAAGAAACAGCATTTTTGGCAAGCCATACTGCCTTGGAAAGAACCTGCACTCTGTCTCCAGTCCCATGCATGTAGATTGACCTGATCTACTATACAGCCATTTGTACATCATCCTAGAGCAAAACCTAGAGCCTCTCCCTCCCGTCTTTGGGACCCACCTCTAGCCTCAACCTCCTAAAGATATGGGGAACAGCTTAAGTTACTGGGAAACATTAACATCCTCTGCTCAACCAATCGACATCGGAGAGTGGGGTTTAGGAGATGACAGTAGGGTGGACAACATGGTCTGAAAAGTTACACTGTTCTAGATATTTCCCTTAAATCCTAGGGAAAAAAGAGAGACCAGTATTGGCCATTATACCTGTCCAGCTCCAGTGTGCCTAAATCAGAGAGGCACAAAATCCTATGCCTCTTTTGATGTGGGATGCAAACTAATATGATGGAATATTTCCTCTACTATACTAAGTCATATCCTTGTCCCCAGCAGGAACACAGAACTGATGAAAGATAAAATCACTCATCTACATGGAAAGGAGGGAAGGGCAGGGGAAGGGGGGCTGACTTCAAAGTCAAAACCAGAAGCTCAAACCCCAGATGCCAGGTGAACAGTTTTACCTGATGTCTCTGATAAGCTGAGAACATTTTTTCAAAGTCCTCTAGATCCAGAATCCGAAACACCTTCATGTCGTCAATCTCATTCCATATGGTTCCAGAAACACGTTCCTGAGAGACAGTGAAGGGAAAAGACCCTGTGGTTGATTCACGATCCCCGGGATGGAAACAGCTGGTATCTGCCTATCCCTTCCCTCCCCCAGGAGCTTCCTCTGAACAGCCAGGCTTTCGGGCCTTCAGAGGGAATCCGTTCCTTCCCCTCCACCCTCCAGTTCCCTACTCCAGGTTGGAGCATCCCCTTTGCCCATCCATGTGGAGTCACTAGTCATCATATTCTAAAACCCAAAGAGTTGGGACAGTATTAAGTGAAGATTTTTCCTCTCCTTCTGGGAGAACGACAAAGCCACTACACATGGCGTACACTGCACACGGAGATTCTCCCTGAAAACTAAGGTGCACCTGGATCAGAAAGGCAGAATCTCCAACCAAAAACCTCAGCACAGATGCCCTCTCTGAGAGGCACGCTCCCAGCCCCACACTCACAGGTTTTCCAGATTCCAGAAAGTGGACAAATACCAATGGATGGGGGCATCCTGGCACCTATAGTGTTGGTTCATTCCAGCAAGACTCTGCCATGGTTTTCCACTGTAAGATTCAGACCCAGGGGGATGGAGCTGTCCCTTATGATGAGGCCAGACCCAGGGAGTACAACTTAGTAAGTCTCTTCAAATTAGACATCAACCCACGTTGTGGGACTCTTACAGAGACATTCAGGGTTCCCCAGAAATGTGGGAAGAAGCTGTGAGTCCACTGAAGATGCACTGGTCCTCTTGCTATACCCTGACTGGTATCAGAAAAGAGAGAACAGAGCTACACCCCCACACTCCTACTGCCTCCCACCAGTTGTCCCACATGTCTCCCAGGAATTCTCACCCATCTGGAGCCTTGCTGTTCATAAAAATAAAATCTCCCACCTCCCCCAGCCTAGAGAGCAAGGGGAGAATTTTCTTATGTTGCTGCCACATCCTTCCTCCCTCTCCCCATCAAGAAAGCTTGCAGAGAGCAACATACCTTCCATGCATTGTTTTTTTCTTAGAATCTGGAAAGGGAGGCTAGGCCAGAGTAGTGGCAGGAGTGGGAGCAGGGGGAGGAGGGACATTCCTCTGGCCTTCCTAAGGTCAGGGATCCTTTCATGGAATGCTGGGCTGGGAAGCTTGAGCAACAAGGCAAGAAGCCAAACCCAACACAGACACATTCTTTTCAAGGCAGAAACAACGTGTGTGTGTGTGTGTGTGTGTGTGTGTGTGTGTGTGTGTGTGTGTGTTTACAGGAGCACTCCCAGAGTAGGTAAGGGACTAGAGAAAGGGGCTGTTCCCCTGTGGATGACAAACAGAAGAAGGAAGAGGAAGTGGTTGGGGACGGCAGTGGCAAGAGGAAAGTTCTAACTTGCTCCCCATCTAAACTAAGGCCTGGAGTGAGTAGGGTCCTAGAGGTAAAACTCCCCACTGCTCTTTATTTCTGGAAAGGATGGGACTGAGAACTGGATGCTAACCACTGCAAAATTTCCCAGAGAGAAGCTGAATTTTCCCATACCCATGCTTCTCAGCAGAGCTGGGAGCTCATAGTGGAGGAACAGTGGAGGTCTGGGGCCATGAAAGGCGCATTCCTTCCTGGAACTCTTGTATTCTCCACAAATTCCAGATTCTACCGATCACCCACTGGTATCCACCTTGAAGATTAACACTGAAGTGTAATGTTTATACCACTCTGATTAAGACCTAGTTATATTCTTGGGCTGGGGCGATAGCACAGCGAGTAGGGCATTTGCATTACATGCGGCCGACCCAGCCGACCCAAGTTCGATTCCTCTGCCCCTCTCGGAGAGCCTGGCAAGCTACTGAGAGTATCTAACCCGCACGGCAAAGCCTGGCAAGCTACCTGTGACATATTCGTTATGCCAAACACAGTAACAACAAGTCTCACAATAGAGACGTTACTGGGCCTGCTCGAGCAAATCGATGAACAACGGGAGGACAGTGCTACAGTGCTATATTCTAGGGGCATTAACCCCTCTCCAGATGTCCTTTGATAACAGAGAAATCAAGAAACACGTTTTATTCTGTTTCTTTCCTGGAGAAGGGGGGGTGGGATTGATAGACTCTGTTTGGCACCAGGTGGGACAGATGGAAATGGACGGTCATTTTTATTTCCCTTCTCTCACAAAGGAAACAGTCAGGCTAACCTTGCTGCTGAGAAGTGAGCATAAGCTGACTTGCCGTTGCAGCACTTTGGGAGGGCCATCCATAACAATTGATCTATATTATTTAGATTTGCTCTGCAGTCACTGCCCAAAGGTTCTCTTTGACTTTTTAATAGGAGATCCTCCCAGCAGCGTTCAGAGTTCTGTGCAGCTTGGGGAATGAACTCAGGCCTGGTACATGTGAGGCATGTGCCCCACCAATTGAAATATCTCTCCAGTCTCCAAATTGTGTGTTACTACTCTCCTTATTTTACATATCAGAAAAATCCCAAGGAACTTGACAACCCCTACTCACAGACATACCACTCAATGCCCCGCCTCTGCAAAGAAATGCCCACAATTCCTGAAAATGTTTCCCATTGCTTATGTTACCAACCTGGCTATCCACTCTGGCTGGTGCTGCACCCTTGAGGAATTTGTATGGATCTTATTATGACTGACCCTCAGAGTACATTCTGATCACAAAATTATTTATGAGAAAAATATGGCAAAAAATTGCCCCACGTAGCCTCCTGATTGTTAACCAACTTTTGATGATAGTTTTACAATCTTTCATTTTATGTTGTAAGTACAAGAGACAATAAATACTATTCACGTTTTTGCAATAGAAATTGTCACTATTTATGATCAGGAACAATGAGCATTTTCACATAGTCTATGGTCTGTGGTCTGCTTCTAACAGTTGACTCTCTGGCTCATCTTACGACTGTATCCCTGAGAAGCTTCACAAGGCACAACTGTACTAAACAGTTATCACCAACTTCAAAAATGTTACTTCAAAATTCTTCTAACAGATTCCTTTAAATATATTCATAAGAGAGAAGATGTTATCAAAGTCCCAGGGGACTATGCATGGCATTTATGCTTCAACTTTTAAACTAGATTATATAACCGGAGGTGAAAGAAATCTAAGTTATCACTAAGATATTAATACATCTTATAAATGAGCAAATTAAATAAAGATTTTCACAGATCAAAGTTAGAGACAATCTGATTTCTTTAGAGGTCAGAAAATCATCTTGAATCTATTTCTAAATCTCTAATTTCTTGAGTATGTGTCCTCATTTTATAGATTTAAAGAAATTAAAAGTAAATATTATTTATTCCTTCTTATTATTACCCATAATAACACAATCATTAACCAAAGCATACCTCAGACTGTCTATCTAGTCTATCAGTAGGTATATAATAAATGTGTTTTTTTCCACTTGAGTCTCTATTTGATTGCATTTGAACTTAAAGACAGCTCACAAATTCTCCCTAAACTAGTCAATACACCCATACAAGAAGTTCGGAGACATTCATTAGACCCAGATGCTAACTAATGTATGCATGACTGATGTTGAAATAAGTGTAGTTGAGGCTAACTGAAACTATTCACCCGGAATATGGGACATTGGGAACAAAGCAATAAGCTAATGGAACACAGCACAGAACCATAGGCAGAACCTGATCCAGGTTTGAACCACAACTACTAGGTGTTTAAGGTGACCAAGGGCATCCGTATTCTATACACATGGAAATCTAAAAGGGGAACCAGCAACTTTTATAGGCCTGAAGTTGGTAATCACTGCAAGGTAACTCTCCTGAGGATCTCTCACTACTGCGAATTCTAGAACAGTCACTTTCCTCCTGGCAGGATGCTAAAAGGCTACATTTTGACATCTGACTCTTCATTAAAGTTAAAAAAGTTAAAGGCCCTCCCGTTGATCGTCGATTTGCTCGAGCGGGCCCAGTAACGTCTCCATTGGAGACTTTGTTGTTACTGTGTCTGGCATATCGAATACTCTCGGTAGCTTGCCGGGCTCTCCGAGAGGGGCGGAGGAATCGAACTTGGGTCGGCCATGTTGGCCGCTTGTAAGGCGAACGCCCTACCCGCTGTGCTATCGCTCCTTCATTATGGGAAAAAATTTATATATATATATATATATTATATATATGAGTGGGCTGGAGTGATAGCGGGTAGGGCATTTGCCTTATACACGGCCAACCCAGCGGACCCAGGTTCGATTCCTCCACCGCTCTCGAAGAGCCTGGCAAGCTACTGAGAGTATCTTGTCTGCACGACAAAGCCTGGCAAGCTACCCATGACATATTCGATATTCCAAACACAGTAACAAGTCTCACAATAGAGACGTTACTGGGCCCACTCAAGCAAATTGATAAACAAGGGAGGACAGTGACAGTGACAGTGATATTAGCATCTCTCTCTCTCTCTCTCTCTCTCTCTCTATATATATATATATATATATATATATCTGTCACTGTCACTGTCCTCCCGTTGTTCATCGATTTGCTCCAGCAGGCCCAGTAATGGCTCCATTGGAGACTTTGTTGTTACTGTGTTTGGCATATCGAATACATCACGGGTAGCTTGCCAGGCTCTGCCGTGCGGGCGAGATACTCTCGGTAGCTTGCCGGGCTCTCCGAGAGGGGCGGAGGAATCGAACTTGGGTCGGCCATGTTGGCTGCGTGCAAGGCAAATGCCCTACCACTGTGCTATCGCTCCAGCCCTATATATATATATATATATATATATATATATATATATATTCTTCCCACTGAGCTGTCAACCACCAGCCCCTCCATGCTATCCATCATTTCATAGATCTGCTGCTGCCCAGGGCCCACTAAGGAAAGAATCCAGGGTGAAAATATGCAAAGGCCATCAGTTCACAGGGCTGTGGCAGAGGAGATCTACCCCTTTCCATCACTCACCGTACTCAACTTGACCCAATTGAAGGACTTCAGCGGATGGGAAGGTTGGGGTACACACTTTTTCCTGAGTGGAATTTCACTGCTGAGCAAGGTGTCTGAAGAGAGGGTTCGGTCCGGGTTAAAGCAAGGTGGGGCTCCTGGGGGGGTGGGATGACTACCAGGTGGAAGGGGTGGTGGGGGGGGAGGGCAGCAGGCTAATGGCAGTGGAGGTGCGGGTGGAGGCAGGTCGCTGGTTGTCACAGGGGGAGGCAAAGTAAGCGGGCCCCCTGGGGGAGGTGAAGAAGATATAGGTCTAGCCTGCGGGAAGACAGAGAGCAAAAAGACAAGACCATTAGCCACAACATCTCAGGTCTCTTCAGCTATTCCTGTCCTCACGATTCTACATCTGCACTACACCCTCAATCGTGTTCTCACTTCCTCTCTCTATACAGCCCCTCACCTTCTTGGTATCTCTAATCCAACACAACCACAGACAGATGAACAGGCACTGAACAATATCACAGTCATCACAATGCAACAGAAATATTGATAGAAGTTGTGTAGGCTACTGCCCACACAAGGACATCCAAGTAAGAGGGGAGAAGGAGCCCCCAAAACACTTGCACCCAGCTTCCAAGGCTTGCTTCCTGGGACAGGCTCACCCAGGGAGGGAACACTGTGCTTTCCAATTAACACAAAAGTGCCATGCTGACATCCTCGGGGACTCCCTCTATCCTGGACTGAGGGTTCCCACTGCATTTCTCCCCCATATTGAGGTACTAACCTTCCCCCCACACATGCATTTGCTCTTTTTGCTTGTCCTTTACTGAATCCCAGGACCTTGGTTCAATGATACCAAAAAGGGGAAACCATATACCGAGCAGTCACTGAGTTGGGCCACCAGCTCTGACACTTGTCCTCGAGCCTGGCGCAGCTCCTGGGATTCTCGAGCCAGCTTATCCTTCATCTTGTTCAGCGTTCGCATCATCTCTTCCTTCTCCAAGGTCTTTGTCTCACATTCTCGCTCCTTCCTCTCCAGTTTGCTCACCAGCTCCAAGTGTTCTAGAATGGATGGTGAGGTGGGGGAAGAAACGGGACAGCAGAAGGAAGTGAACGTGTGGCCCTTTCTAAAAGGGGGTCGTGGAGACATAGGAGCCAAGCAGGGTTTGAGGGATGGGCTGCAGTGGGCTTCCACAGAGCCCCCTCACCTTTCCGGAAATTTTCTGCCTGTTCTCGCCACTGTTTCACTTCATTCTCATTGATGAGCCTGGGATGAAGGAGAGGGAAGGGTCTGTTGATTGCTGCCTCACAATTCTTTCAAAACACGTCTATTTCCCACTTCTATCTGTCCTGCCACTTCTGGTTTTTAACTTTAGGGTTTTAACTTTCTCCAGCATCTTGCCCATACCCACTCCACTTCTCCCTAAGTTGATTTGTGCACTGAGAGCTGCAAGGATACTTAGCTGTCTAATAATCCATCCCCCTTGTAACACAGTTGAAGCTCCAGGAAGTTCTAGAAAATAAACCATGCATGGTCATGGCTTCATAATCAGAGGCAGTCAGCAAGGAGTCTAAAGAGTCTTTACCCATTCACCAAATCCTGAAAGAGAAAGCCTAGACACTGTTACCTGATCCAGTAAGATCTTTCCTGCCCTTCCTCTTCCTCCTTTCTGCCTCCATGCTCCTTCTGGGGGGTCAGAAACTGGTTAGTAGTGGAAAAGGGGCTAGGAGGGTTAGAGTGAGAATCATAACAGAAAAGAAGCCAACTATTTCTCTCGCTCTCTTCTTTATTCCCCCTTCACAGCACACACACACACACACACACACACACACACACACACACACACACACACACACACACCATCCTTTTCACTGCAGGTTTCCAGTCCTAGGAAAGGAGAAGAGTGAGTTGACCAAAACTAGAATATGGATTCATTTCGGGATGGTCCTACTTGCTATTTGAGAATATATATTGGGACTTACATCAGGGAGATACAAGTCAAAACAACAATGAGATATCATCTCATACCACAGAGACTGGAACACATTCAAAAGAACAAAAGCAACCAGTGCTGGCATGGATGTGGGGGAAAAGGGACGCTCTTTCACTGTTGGTGGGAATACCCACTAGCCCTGCCTTTCTGGAAAACAATATGGACAGTCCTTCAAAAACTAGAATTATGCTTCCATATGACCCTGCAATACCACTTCTGGGAATATATCCCAGGGATGCAAAAGAGCACAGTAGAAATGACATCTGTACCTATCTGTTCATTGCAGCACTGTTCACAATAGCCAAAATCTGGAAACAATCCAAGTGCCCTAGAACAGATGCCTGGTTAAAGAAACTTTGGTACATCTACACAATGGAATACTATGCAGCTGTCAGGAAAGATGAAGTCATGAACTTTGCTTATAAATGAAGAGGCATGGAGAGTATCATGCTAAGTTAAATGAGTCAGAAAGAGAGGGACAGACACAGAAGGACTGCATTCATTTGTGGAGTATAAAACAACATAACATGAGGTTGACACCTAAGGCTAGTGGATTAACGGGACAGGAAGATTGGTCCATAGCTGGAAACCTGCCTCATGAGCAAAGGGGAGAAGGCAGCTGGAATAGAGAAGGGATCACTAAGAAAATGAGGGCTTGAGGAAGTGGTCTGGATGGGAGATGTGTGCTGAAAGTAGATAAAGGACCAAACATGATAACCTCTCAGTGTTTGAATTGCAAACCATAATGGCCAAAAGTAGAGAGAGAGTATGGGGAATATTGTCTGCCATGGGGGCAGGGGGAGGGTGGGAAAGGAGGGGTATACTGGGGATATTGGTGGTGGGGAATGTGCATTGGTGGAGGGATGGGTGTTTGATCATTGTGTGATTGTCACCCAAACATGAAAGCTTGAAACTATTTCACGGTGATTCAATAAAATAAAAAGAGAGAGAGTATATTGGGGCTTAATGTAACTCAGCCCTCCCATGACTCAAGAAGCAACAAAATCTTTCTGGACTTGAGGTATCTTCAACCTCTGGCAGGCCATAAGCTCCACTACTATGTAGCATAAAGAATCATTTGGAAATAAAAGTAAAGCTGCGGTTTTATTCCTGATGCAGTTGCCCAACATACCCATTAAGAATCATTTCAAAGGGACCACACCAATCAGTGCTGGGAGCTGGAGAGTCCAGGGCCATTCTCACAGATACTCAGCCTAGTGATGCAGGTCTGAAGGTCCTCAGGTTCATTGGTGTTCAAGGGACCACCAGAGCTACAACCAGTGATATGTAGAGGTCACTGGTTTAGCATAAGGCATGTGCTCTGCCACTTTAGCTATCTTTCCAGGAATACCAGTTAGGATGTTTAACTACATTCAACTACTTGTGTAAATGAAAACAATAGTATGAATAGTTTAAGGACTGTTTCTACTTGGTGTTGGAGTACAAGGAGCTTAGGTCTATCAGGTTGTACCCATCACAGTGCTCCCGAGTTATTCCCATTACGTTGTTTGTCTGTAACTACTTCTTTGTGCTCTCTTCCCCAACCAATTTGTAAGGTCGGATCCTTCTAGGACACTGAACTTGTACTGTAAGTTAATATTGCCTTTCTCCTCTCCTTACGTCTTTTGAATAGTTTAATGCAATGTCCTTTCTGTATAGATACAGGAAGACAATTAATATTATGCTTTATAACTTAGGATTTAATTGGCTTTGAATATTATTCACTCCCGGGCATCTGCTTTCTCAACTTAAGCCTCAGTTGCCCTCACTTCCTAAGGCCCCCCAAAGCAGGGTCCCAAGAAGGGAGTGGATGGAACCAGGGCAAGCGGTAAGCTATGTGCTACCCTGGCATTGCAATGGGCCAGGCCAAGGTGCCACGATTCTTAACTATAGGTTAAGAGTTTTGATCATAGGCAATTGATTGTTGTCATGATCCAAAAGTAATGACGAGACTAGGACCCTGCTGCTAGGAATAGGAAAGATACCTGGCCTGAGCATTGCAGTCTGAGATTGAGATGGCCCTAGGAGAGCAATTCTATAATCTTAAAGTATTTCTTACTGTGTCCAAACAAAATGATTTATATTATGTATGCTTATATGTTGGTCAGACAAGGAGAGGAGAAACACACCCAGGGAATTCTGTTCTAGGGTGGGTTGATCTGCTAAATGAGAATCTGTCCTAGAAGCAGCTTTCCCATGTGTCCTGCGATGAGACTGAACATTTCTCCCCTTCCAACTGCCTTCAGTAAATAATTTCAGTATATTTTAAGAGGCAGTTTCCCTTTTCTCTCAGTAATCTCAGGTGCTAGTCAGGCCTATCTTTGGGATGTAGATTCCAAGCTCTAGGCAGGCTAGTCTTTGGAATGCAAATTCAAATGCTTGTAGCTTGTGGAAGGTTTCAGTCTTGGTTTTGTATCTTCTTTCTGGAGGCCAAGATTACTGGCCTGAGGATGTAAAGAAACAATGTATGTTTTGCCGCCTTAATGATGACATCACTGTATTGCACCCTTTAGAGGTACCATGATCTATATAAGGGAGATTCCAGGGCTTTCTGGGGGAACACGTGCCTGAGAGAATGGGGAACACAGGCTGAGAGAATCTGGGGAACACATGCATTAGAGAACCTGGGAAGATGGGACTGAGAGAATGGGGACAGAAGCTTGAGAGAACAAGGGGGCATGTGCTTGAGAGATCCTGGGGCCTCTATGACATACACTTCTTCCATGTAATAAACTGTTGCCAAGACTAACCAGCCTGGCCCTCTTTTCCTTCCTTTGCCTGACCGTCGCCATCGACCTCCCTGGAGTGGGTTGAGACTACCAAACGCCGGCGATGGGAGAGATAGGCCGCTGCTGTCCCTTTGCCCGTATTTTTGTGTGTTTACACACTTGGCTTCAGAATGTAAGACAATGAATCATTGAAATTCAATTCATCTCTTTACAGGCAATTGGCTGAAACTCATACTGAAATCTGAGCAACAGATTCAAGCTAAAAATTACTGTGTTAACATAAGGTATGGTTATTAATTGTTATTAGTTTAAATTTGCTTCTCTATGCTTCTCTAAACCAACAAAAAAACAGAAAATATATTCCAATGTCTCCATCGAACAGTCCATGTTCAATGACCAAGCTCTATCTCAGGAGCTGTCAAGCTGTCAGGAAGTACCAGAGTAAATACTTTAGGTTTTATATACTGTGCCACACAGTTTTGTGTCTGGCTCATCCAGAGCTTGAACGTGCTTCCTCTGAAACTATGACCCCAAAGAAACAAAAGTGAAATTTTCACATAAAGTCTCACTCAGCCTCAAATTCATTTCACTTATAAAATATCAAAATTGAGGGATCGGAAGTATAGCTCAGTGGTAAAGAGTGCATGCTTCTGCTTGTATGATGAGGCCCGAGTTCAACATTGCCCCAAATTTTAAAAAAATGCAAATGAAATAAAATGTAGAAGCTCCCGGGCCATAAAAACCCATATAGGAGATTGCAGACAGCTTGACCATGCCTCTGTGTAAAAGAATTTCAATTCCTCCTTTATTCCCTCCCTACAGTTTTAGAGATTCCTTTAAACCTGAGCTGTCCAACATAGTAGACACTAGCCGCTATATCAGGTGGCTGTTAAAGTTTGATTAAAAAGAAATCAAATGAAAAATTCAGAGCCACATGCCAGGTGGTCATCAAACATATCCAGCTGCTGCAACAGACAGTCCAGATGTGGAACGTCCCCAAAGCAGTTCTGTGGGTGAGCGACGCTCAAGGCACACTTTGGGGTGACTGGTTATAGAGAGGGAGCTGAGATGATCTGCAGACAAAGAGTGGTCAGGAGGGGGAGTAGAGCAGGGGAAGGCTGGCTCCTGCTCACATGTTAACGATGTTCTTGACATTGAAGTTCTCCAGGGGAGCCAAGTCTGGGTCCATGCCCCTCTCATCCTGCAGGACAATCTGCTGGAGGATGCGGTCCAGGAGCTGCCACTGCTGGAAGTAGCCCCCATTGCGTTTGTCTGTGGGAGGACAGACAAACAAGTCTTGACTGGCACAGAAGGGGGAGACATGCCTTCCTGTCCTTGATGAGGCCCGCCCTTGGAGGGGGGAATGATATAGACTCACAAATCTAATCCTTTCCTGGTTATCAGCAGCTGACCTTCTCTGAGCACGTCAACCCTTTCAGAAGATTGCTCTGCTCCTAACTGCAATGCTTCCTGGATGCCTTTCTTCCCTGATGTACCCTGAGCTTTCCCTCTGCCTGGGGACTGCAAATTGCTGTTTTACATTATCTAAAAACAGCACCTTTAAGAAAGTAAATGTGCTCCAAAATATTACATGCTGAATAATGAAGTCTCTAGGGATATTTCAAACAAGAAAAGGCCCGAGGATTAGCTCTGCTCTTGTTCTACAGAAGAAAATGAATGATAACTAATTACAGTATGCACTGAGTGGGAATCAGAATGGGCTGCAGAAGTTGTGGTGGAATACAGACAGATTTCTTGGTGAAGGTGACCTTGAACTCTGAAACCAAGCACTGGCCTGGTCTAAGAAGGTCACAATATCATATTCTCTAAACAGAATCTGACTGGACCACAGACCTTCTTTACAGAGGTCACCCTAAGATATTCTTCCTGGGTTCTTGATCCCCAGCATTGCATCTTTCCTTGACAAGGGAGATCAAATATCCTGACCCTAAACTTAAAATCAAACCCAATTGCTAGAGGGGCACGGGCATCTGTGCAAAGGAAGGATCCATGTACATGGTCTAACACAGGCATTTGGGAGCAGAACAAGTTGAGATTCTTTAGCGCTGCCCATGTCTTCTAGGAAGGACTTCTACACCTGGTTTTGGAGAACAAGTACCTTTCTGGTCCATGTGTGTTTTGCTTTTCCTCCAGCACTATGTGTCATGACTTACCAGTTCAACTTCACCCAGGGAAAAAGGGCTAGGCTAATAGAGGTAAGGCTAATAATAAAAAGGGCTAGGCTAATAGAAGTAGAACATATTTCATCTGAAGCCCTTACCACAAAGAAATGAAAATCCTCATACATGATAGTCATTCAGTTACACGTGCATGCACTATAAATTGAAGCAAATGCACACTCCTTCCAGAGTCAATGTGAGGTGAAGATCCCCACTGTACTAAGGGATCTTGCATTGTGTCACACTCCACGACAGCTGGCACACAAAACAACTGCTGCTGTAACGTCACCATGATGACTGATACACTGTCTAAAGAATGCCATGGGAGATAGTTATGGTAAACCCTGCTAGTTTTCAAAATATTCTTCTACTTTGGGAAGAGATTAAATACTAAATGTGGTACAGTTAAAGCTCATTCAAAGCATGTATGAAGGTTTTTATTAGTATTTATGAGTAATTTATTCAGCCACTGTACATTCCTAGATCTCAAGGATCCAGCCACTGCTCTTGGAAATGCTGGCAGGCGGGATTTGTAAAGGGAAGCAGGTCCAAGAGAGTGGGAGCGGTGGGGAACCAGAAAGACTGGATGGAAAAGCCAATGGAACCTTTTTCTATGCCAAAAGGGCATGCCCAAACCCTCATTGCAACTCAGGACTGCTTCCCCAAGCCCAACACTTTCTTTTGGTGCTCACCAAGGAGACCAAGCTGACCATTGCCATCAGGAGTTGTTGGATTTGCAATGATCAGGCTACTTTTGAAGTTACAATGTCAAGGTTCCTCAGGGCCATCTCACAGCTTTGGGGTAAGGGTGTAAACCTGGATCCCACAGAAGAAAGAAAGGAAAATAGAGGTCTGAGTCCTGTGACAACTCACTGGAGACAGAGAAAGACTCACCAACCTGAGAGGTCCTTGTTCCCTGTCCTTTCTTAAAATATGTTTTGGATTTGGGGGCCAAAAACCTGAATTAGTGCTCAGGGCTACTCCTGGCTTGGCTCTAGGGGGTTGCTCCAAAATACACTGGAAACCATGCAATGTGGGGTACTGGACCTAGATTTCAAGAATGCAGAATACACTCACTAGTCCTTCAAGCCATCTCTTTGGAAAGCCTGTCTTCCGTTTGCATTTGTTTGGTTTGTTTGGCATTATGCTCAGTGATGCTCAGGGGTTAATCATGGCTCAGTGCTCAGGAGTCACTCCCAGTGGTGCTCAGGGGACCATGAATTGCTGGGAATCAAACTCAGACCTCTTATTTGCAAAGCAGATGCTGTGCCCATTATGCCAGAGCTCAGGCAACAGAGATAAGCTTGTGTAGGAACTCACAGGGCATCTGCAGGCAATGGTGCAGCACGGACAGCAGGCAGGGGTAGGCCTCGGTGTGCTTCAGCTTCTTGTGGATCAGCTCAAACATTTGGGATGCACTTTTGGTGTCGATGTGGACCTGGGAGAGAGAAGAGAAAGAGTGCATGGGGCAGGAGAGGGCAGTAGACGGTAGGGAAGAGGACATTGTTTCCATTCACTGAGTCCCATCCTTCTCAAGGACTGTTCCTTCTCCTTCCTCTGGGCCAGCTTTCAAAAGCAGGAAGATGATACTAGGGTTCTTCAGCCTCAGCACTATTGGTTCCTTTGTTGGACTAAATAATTCTGGGGTTGGGGCACTGCACATTGGAGGATACTTAGCAGCATGTTTGGCATAATGCCTATCATCCTTGGTCTCTGTGTCTCTGATGCACCTGGCAGTCTCCTTATATGGACTGTGTCAACTCAGAATGTCTCCACACATTGCAAAAGTCCCCAGAGCGACCAGGGAACAAAACGACCCATGGTTAGAGCTAAAGGTCAAAACTAAGGGAAAGAATCAGGGCTCGGACATGAAGCCTGGATACCTCCCTGTGGAGCGACTTCCTATCCAAATTCACTTTGCGGTTACCTCTGAACCCAGGGCTTGGCTAGGAACATAAAGGGATAGAATGAGGTGACTGAATTTCCATCCCAAATTAGGCTTCTATTTTAATAAGGATTTTGTACATAAAACAACATACAAGCAGCAGAGCTGGGGTGTCTTTAGGACAAATAATTGGCTAGGAATGCTCTGTGATTTGCTAGCTGTTAGAAATGCAGAGGGCTGACTCAAGAAATTTTTGGGAGGCAGGAGGAAAGTCGCTTAGGAATGGCATCTGAAACTATTCTCATTCCTTAGGGGACTATGGTTTTCCCAGGTGGGGCTCTGAGTTTGGGCTCCCCAGAGCAACATGCTGCTAGGAATTTAGGATCCTCACCATGTCAAACCTCCGGGCTAGCTCCAGGTCATCCTCATTTCGGACCATCTCAAAAAAATCTAAATGCCTAGATGGGGAGAGAGATGTACAGTCAGAACATCCTGCTTGAAGCTGACAGTCCCTTTGAACTAAATCGGAAAGCTTTACCCAGATGAAGCCCGGACAAGGCTTCAACTACCATCTGCAGGCCAACACCCCCTCCAGGATGCCTCCCTTTGGTCCGGTCTGATGTCACTCAGTCTATGCCTACTTAGAGAATTACCCTTGAGGCAGGAGCTAAATAAGAGACTGTGGGAAATTCAGTAGCATTTCTCAACCCACCCCCTAGAGGCCAGTAGCATTCCACCCCTTGAGTTGTGACAACTCAAAGTGTCTGTAGGAATTGCCATGTGTCCCTTGGGGAGTAGACCACCTGCTGTCAAGACCACCTGGCTTGCAGTGACTTTATTCTTGTTCTATGATCTCCATGCCAAAAGTTTAACCATTCTTTTCTACCCTTTTTATCCCCATAACTCTACTACCAAAGTATCCATAAGAAAATGGACCTGTTGTTCATCAAATAATCTGTTCTAAAGTGACAGAATAGGGATTTAATTATATCCTTGGGCCAGCAAGGGCCTTTTTGGCTTGGTTTTGGGCTGTGCATTTCTTTGTTTAACAGGAGTGCTGGGCAGTACATTAGCATTCATGGCTCCTAATAACAGCAGCCCTCTCTTCAACCCACCCCAGTCAATATGAAAACCAAAGAACAAGTCCCACATATCTCCAAATACCCTCACAGCAGTGCAATGTTGCTATTGGGTAAGAGACAACTGGGGCCACCTGCCCTGAACATCAGAAGTGAGGCAGCCAAAAGAACAGGCAGAAGCCCGGGTAAGAAGAGGATGGGAGTTGAGAGGGGTCTGCCACCTCTGCAGGGCTAATTCTAAGGGGTGCTGGGTATGGCTGGTGATCCAATGGGAGGAGCAGTCTTCATGAAGCTCCCACCAGCACTGCAGAGGGCTGCAGAGGAAATGAGATGGAACTTAGGTCTTACTTATCCAGGATGGCATTCTCATGCTGCCGGAGCTTGTCAATCACAGGCTGTATTCCCAGCATCAGGAACTCGTAGCGCAGATGGAGGCGGAACTCCAGATTATCCTGTTGTCACCAAGGGACAATTCATTGGATTGTCTTAACTTACTCAAGACTTCCCAAAGGAAGCCTTATAACTAAGTCAGTCACTATCCCACAGCTCCTGTGGCAAACTCATCTGGAACTACCGCAAGGCCCAGAGTTCCAGGCAAAGATAGGATGACACAGCCTTTGGCACTCTCCTGGCCTCACTCCCGGTGTGTCTCTGGCCTCACTGCTTTTAAGTTTCTTACTTAAATGTTAAGTTCCGTACAAGGATCCTTTTCTCTTTGGGCATTAAAGAGCAGTGCTGCACGACACAAACTGGCATCACATAATTCTTGCTTCAACACCCCACTTTGCCATTTGGGGTATTGGGACTTGGGGAAATCCTTTACTGCCTCCTTGTAAAGTGGTTGTGATAGAACTTACACAAATGGCATTGACAACAATGACCTGATACTCTGTAGTTACCAACCAGTTAGGATGGATGCCAGCAGCAATAGTACTAAGAGATGGATTAGGGATAGGTCAATCAACCAGCCTCACCTAATTTTGATCTTCACGGCTGGATGTTAAACAGGAAATAGGGAAAGTAAACATCTTTATGTTGCTTTCTTTGTCCTTAGCAAGCTGACTTTTACCAGAGCATCTGATTACCTGAGAATTAAGGGACCAAATATTTCAACTGTTGCTTTTTTATGGCATAAAAATCCCTGTTTTTACCCAAATGTAAGAAAAATGATGAGCTACACCTCCTAATAGAAGATGTTAGGAGAATATAATCTGCCAATCCAAAAACAAGTGCAGAAGCTGATCTTTGGAAAATTCGAGACATGTGGATCAACAGGCTCTCCTTCCACACGATTTCTTCCCTCTTCAAGCCACCATCAGTCAACCAGTCTCAGATTTATCTGTCATGTACAGAATGCATGATGCTAGCTATGCAGGAAATGCCTCAGGGTCCCTCCCAGATTTAGATAAAATCCAAAGGCATTTGTGAATAAGTAAAGCGAATTAATCTTCATTGCAACTTTGAAGACCACAAAGGGGGTTTGGGCAAACTAGATCTGTCTGACAAGAAGTTGCCAACCTGACTGAAAGGCTTGTGACAGACTATTCTTTCTTGGTACCAAACGTAGGAGACAAGAGACAAAGGCAATATGACAATGATGAAGATAACCAAGTACCGTGGCCCCTTCCCTCTTCCCCTTTCCCAGGAAGTTCACGCAAGGCACACTAGGCACAAAAAGTTAGGGTAAGGGCAAGATGAAGGGCCTCACCTCTCCAGCTCCTGCATTGAGAACAGCGTTGATGAAGGACATGATGGCTGTTTTCAGGTTCACTTCATCCCTGTAGCGGCCCAGACTTCGATCTAGCTCATTCAGCAGGGTCTAGATAGAAAGGAAAGAGAGAAAGGAGAGGAAGACTGAGGGCTCCCAAGAACAGCTTCTGAAACTTTGCTCTGACTGTTCCAACTACCTGGAAGGGTCTGTCCATTCTCTATTCAACCAATACAACATAATCAAACCATTTCCCAAGACTCATCTTTTGCCAGAAGCATTATTTATTTATTTATTTATCTTGCATTTGGGGTTGCATCTGTTGATCCTCAAAGGCTACTTTTACTCAGCGCTTAGGGATTACTCCTGGAGGTGCTGAGGGGGATTCTGTGTTTTCAGAATTGAATCTAGACTTGCTGCATGCAAAGGACACAGTCAATCAGTCAAGCCATCTCTCCAGATCCAGAAGCATTCTTTAATCCATACCTCACTCTTGGTTCTGCCTTACTGCCCTTACACTCCTGCTCCAGGGCTTGATTCATACTGTGGGACAGCATGAAGGCACTGATTTAAAATTTATATCAGGTGTGTATCACCTTCTTGGCTTCTTTTATTCTTTTTGCATCTTATGCAAAATTTTGTGATGGGAGCCACTTTTTGCTTTTCGAAGTAAGGTAAAGGTAAAGGCCCTCCCGTTGTTCATCGATTTGTTCTAGCAGGCCCAGCAACGTCTCCATTGGAGACTTTGTTGTTACTGTGTTTGGCATATCGAATACGTCACGGGGAGCTTGCCAGGCTCTGCCGTGCGGGTGAGATACTCTCGGTAGCTTGCCGGGCTCTCCGAGAGGGGTGGAGGAATCGAACTCGGGTCGGCCATGTTGGCTGCGTGCAAGGCAAACGCCCTATTGCTGTGCTATCGCTCCAGCCCCAAAAGGAGCTGCCAAAACCCAGGATCTTTTCAAAGTAACTGCTTTAAAATGTTTGATGAGAGTATACACAAAGTCTGTACAGGTACAAAAAACAGAGTGTAACAATAGTTTACATCTATTAAAACTCATTTTTTTGCCAGGACACTTTATAAGATTTATTATCTGAAACCTTTTCTGGGGCAGATTAGTGAGAAGGGAAGAGAAAAGCTTGGCTTAAGCTCCCAGGAATGGTCCCAGTGTCCCCTTAGGAGATTCTGCCCCAGGCAAAGAACCTAAACACTTGAGCCCCAACAATCGTATTCAATTCGACCATTCTAGACTGAGCCCTGACAATGACTCTCGCACTAAACTCGAGAAGAGAAGGAGAGTCATATAGCATATGAATATTCTTCTAGGCCCAAGGAAGCCAAGGTCTAGCAAAGGTTTTCTCTTCCCTGTGTAACCCATGCCTTTAATATTCCTCTTGCCCGCCGGGTCCCATTACTCTCAGCGTGTTATCTTCCACTAGCGGGTATGCAGCCAGAATTTCCCTCCAGTTTTCTCCCAGTTTTTGTGACCAAACACCTCCAACATTCCAGACTCCTCCTGTTCTATCCCTGGCTATGGTCCCCTGCTTCCCCCGCGGCTCACCTGGAAGCGTGTCCTCTCAGCAGCATACATCTGGTAGTGGAGCATGGCCTGCAGTACCTTCTTGTGGCCACCGGGCACGAGGCACACGGCACCCAGTATCTCCAGCACTGCCACCTTGGTCTTGCTGTTCTCTGTGCGCAGGCTCTGTGCAATGGTGCTGATGGCTTCAGGCTGTGCCAGCACATGCGCCCGCCCCTGGGAGTTGTTCATCAGAGCCTTGATGCATCCGATCAGGGAGGTGTGGATGCGGCTCTCACAGGTGGTGTGGTCCATGCTCCGGAGAAAATTCAGCAGACAGGCCAAGCCCTCCAGCTCAATGAAGCGTGTTACAAACCTACCAGATCAGTGTCATTAGCAAATCAGGTATGTTATTCAGGATGCAACTTGCAAATAATTGCCCTCTTCTCTGTATACCCACATACACTAGCTCTGAGATTCATTTCTAAAACACCAAAGCCCTATTCACCTTTCAAGAGGTTTAGATCTTATTTGCACTTAAAGTATCACATATTTACATGTCAGCTGCACAGTTATGCTGGTGTGTACATGACAGGTGTGTTTGTGATCATTATCAAAGCTGTTTAACCTGGAGACTCATCTCCAGTGAAGATGAAAATTCAGTGAGTTACAGTCAGATGACAAGAAAGATTTCCAGATGACAGGGGACCGATGCTGCCAGTGAATCAAGAGACCAGGGTTGAGAAGAGATCCCGAAGAGATAGCTGAGTTAGGTTGGGATGCGGCTCAGTAGTGGGCCTCTTGAGTGTGAGAGTCTCTTAGTTCAATCCCCAGCAGCATAAAATGAAGTCAAGTTAAAAATAGAATGGCTGAGTCATTTTGAATGGTCACTGAAAACACAGAAAAGTGTTTAGTTCAACGGCGCTGAATCTGAAGTTTGCATTCCCTGAAAGAGTCTATGGCTAACATTCAGGGAACTATAAACTTTGATAGGAAACTATATATATATATATATATATATATATATATATATACATTAGCTTTGTAAACTTCTAACTGAAATTTTCTTCTATAGTCAACAAAATTTTCACCAGACTTATGTGTCACATTTATAATCAGAATTTTATTAGGAAAAGAAAATAATTTAGGGTAGAAGATGACTCTGGCAGTCACCTATCAATTCTACTTCAACCTTCTTGCATTCCCTTCCTATACCACACCCGTCTCTCCCAACTTAAAGGACAAACAGAGATTTTCCACACAACACATCAGCACACATGAACACACATCAACATCCCTACACACACACACACACACACACACATGCACACGCACACACACAGACATACACACACACCAGTGTGTTTAACAAGTGGTTCTAAGGAGGAAAAAACCCACAAGACTTGACTGTAGTGTTTGCTAATTTACATAACATTCATATTCCCAACAAAGTTCATTTCAAGCTATCACTGTGACATAATTGACAGAGGAGTTAGGAAAAGATTCAATGCTTATACTACTTCCATCATAGACCCAATTTATATACTGGATCTAGACTCATGGGCAGAGGAATAGTGAGGAGAGCATAGAAAGGTTAACAGCAGTAAGATGACCAGGTGATAAGAGAGTGATAAGGTTGAACTATTTCTTTCCTTCGTTTTTGATATAAATTATATTATCAGTCATATCTATGCTTATCAACCAGCTACCAGAGCTGTCTGACAACTTAATAGCCAACTCCCACAAGCAGGTACAAGTTGGTTCCCAGACAGAAGAAACCTATGACCACTTCCTCTTTGAACCCTGCCGTCAAGGAAGCTGGAGGCATCCTATTGCCTTGGAGACATCCATCTCCTTTTCCTACCTGGCAATGTCATCCATAGACACTGATAGACACTGCATCTCCCCCTAGTGGGAGATTTCTCACTTGCAGCGTCACTCCTCCCAAAGCTCTTTCTGAGATACCTTCTCTATTTGGCCACCTTGCTTCTTATTCTGCTCTCTCATGAAGTTTCTGCCCTTATAAATTTCTTTTCCCAGTTTTTCTCTTCAAATCTGAGGTTTGTGCCATCTTTGAATGTACCTCCCCGACTTGCCTGTGACCTTGCAGTTACCCTTGTGTTACAGGGTGTGGGAAACGGAAAGGAAGTGGGTAATGTGAACACTGAGGATGCTGGGCTGGAGCAATAGCACAGCGGTAGGGCGTTCGCCTTACAAGTGGCCAACATGGCCGACCTGAGTTCGATTCCTCCGCCCCTCTCGGAGAGCCCGGCAAGCTACCAAGAGTATCTCGCCCGCAGGGCAGAGCCTGGCAAGCTCCCCGTGACGTATTCAATATGCCAAACACAGTAACAAGTCTCATGATGGAGACGTTACTGGGCCCGCTCGAACAAATCGATGAACAATGGGAGGACCATGACCGTGAGGATGCTGAGGATGAGGGGGAAGAGAGAAGTGTGAGGTTTTCGGAAGTCAAGATGAACTTCTGGTGACTTGATGTGGAGGAAGTGAGGGACAGGAAACAGAGAGTCACCTCATGGGCTGTGTTCTGAGAGCTGTCTTCAAGTCTTCCACAACCTGGTTTCTCCTGTCCATATCCTCCTCATCAAATGCATATAGGCTCTGAATCTGAAACAGATAGTGGAGGGCAGAGGTCACACAGGGATCCCCACCTCCAAGCCCCAGCACCTCCAAATTAGGTGTGACCTAGAGGCTAAGCTCGTCTCAGGGATCTACTAAGACAGGGGGTGCCAAACTCTGAGAAGTCCCAGGTTCTGTTCCTGGACTTCACTTTCCTCATCTGTAAAATGAGAGTTGCTGCTGACCCAGCCAAGTTCCCAAGTCTATGTGATAAATAAATAGTTTAACAAATGCTTAAATAAATCTGGTCATGGAAGTCACCCAGTGGTGACTTTGATAAAATGTCAAGAATAATTGGGAAGCTGTTTTTCCCAGTGCAGGGAAGGTGAGGGAGGATAACCCTGCCCCTGAGCTCTTCCAGGTTGGGCTGTCAGGAGAGGCTACTACTCACTGCAGCCATGGAGTTGATGCGGTCAATATAAAAGTCAGGCCAGCTGGTCGCCATCTTGTTGGGATCTTCTTGCTCCTGAAAAAAGTGAAGGAACTGTATGAGCCAATCAGTAAGACAAAGCCCCTGGCCTCAGATTCTAAACTTCACTCCATATCAAACGAGAAACTAAATTCTTAGCCCACCTAACTTTGCGGAAGTCACAGATATTCCCTGGATTCTTGGGGAGATAGGGATTCTGAATATTATTAAATCTCACCAACAAGGGATCACCCAATGGCATAGGCAAAAATTATGTAAGCATAAATACTATCAGTAAACAGAATATGGCACTGAAGCACTGTCTGTAGCACTGTCCTCCTGTTGTTCATGGATTTTCTCAAGTGGGCACCAGTAATGTCTCCATTGTGAAACTTGTTACTGTTTTTGACATATCGAATATGTCACGAGGAGCTTGCCAGGCTCTTCCGTGTGGGCGGAATACTCTTGGTAGCTTGCAGGGCTCTCCAAGAGGGATGGAGGAATCGAACCTGGGTTGGACACGTGCAAGGCAAATGCCCTACCTGCTGTGCTATCGTCCAGCCAAACAGTATATATAAATAAAAATTGGTTACTGTTATATTTGTTTTATATAGTAAAATATAATATTACATCTGTTAAATCTATTAGATTACCTAATGAATCTAATAGTATTGGTGCTTATATTTTGTACATCTGTTTGAAAATTTGATTTTTCTGATCTTATTTTTATATATTACAAAAACATCAATACATGGCTATTTGAAAATGTGAAAACTTGGTCTTTCAAAGTGTAACAAGCACGAATATAGCGTCTGAGGTCCAGGGTCAGACATGTAGCAGAGGTTCTGAAGAAACAGCATCATCAGAAAAGTCTAGTGACAAATGCTGCAGGGCCAGCTGCTCTGTCAAGCTGGAGCCCTGGACAGGGAGGGGCATCCAACAAGGACCCTCTGAAGCTGATGGACAGAGTGGCCTGAAGAGCTGGAAGGAGGGCCTGAGATGATTGGTGCCAAGAAAGCTGGGGAGGGTCTGAGAGGAAGCACCAGGCGGGAAAGAATGTATGTGAACATGTGTGGGGAAACAACACAGAATTCGGCTTAAAAGGTGGAGGGTGATTCTAATTAGTGTTTTCCTTTAGCTGTTTCAGGGATTTACTGAGTGGGGACTAACTTCATAGCCAATCCTTTAGGAAATAGAGTATTGTGAAGTATGGCTAAGTACCCCTAAGTTTTTGGTCTCTGCTTCCTTCCTCCCTTCCTTATGACTTCTGCTTTGTAAACACTTGTGTTTCTCTCCATGAGATTCCTGACTCCCTGAGCACAGTATCCTGCAGGTACCCAACAAATATGAATGTATATACACCAGACAGTGCAGTTTGGGCAGCCCACACATCCTGTCACTCTTAGACCCCAGCAACCTTGAGTTTTCTCCAATATACGTTAATTGGTATAAACATAATGAATGGGGTTACCATGGGGAATGCCACCTCTGGCTACCTTCCTTCTATGCAGAATAATGTTATAGAGTAGATTAGTTCTCAGGTTCTTTCCAACTCTGGAAATATGTACCACCAAGCTGTATGAATCCCGGAATGGGAAATATCTCTTCAGTGAATCCTGAAGAGTAATATTGATGATAATTAAGAACCCCAGAGAGTAATTAATGAAGGAAAATGGGTGGATAGGAAAAGAAGACTAAAATAGACAGTAGACAAGCAAGACATACAGAATAAAGGGATAACTAAGACCTATGGTAGTCCAAATAAGGGGGAGGGATAGGATAACACAACATCTGGAAAAGCTGAGAAGGACTTGAAATCCCATTAATTCTGGCATAAGCATGCACCCTCTTTCCTAAGACCAAGCCCCAGAGACTGCAATATGTAAGGCACTGCTCCTCACAATGGAGTGCTCTTATGGGGTCTCTCCCGATGGTGCGCAGGGAATCAGTCAGTGCTGGAGATCAAATGCAAGCTCAGTATTTACAACAAGCTGCCTCTAAATGATCTGGGGAGGATTTGAGATTTTGTACTTCCCTGTCCTAGCACCATGACAAAACCTGCTTCATGGATTTGTGAATCAGAATCCTGTTTCCCAGAAATGAAGCTCCATGAGAGAGGGGGCCTCCCTGTATCTAATTTATTCACTGACATTTCCCCCAGCCTAGAATAGCTATGCTGGGTGTCATAAATATGTGTAGAGTGAATTAGTGAGCACGCAGGCAAACGCTATCAGGGGTCAGAGTGGGCACCTTCTTCTTGCTGCAATAGATCTGCCATTTCTTCTCTGGGGGCAGGGCAAACACAGCCTCCCGGTTCTTGTCAGTGAGATCCAATTCATCCTGCAAAGACAAGATATATGACTTAAATTCAAAGCTAGTTGACATCAGACTATTTATTCTTTGAGGGAATTATAGTTTCTCCACATACACTTCCTCCCAAAGAGCATCTAAGTTCTGACAGGCAAGAGTTCTGTTGGAAATAGAGTCCTATTCCTCTACCTCCTTGCTCCTGCCCAAGTCCAGACACTTCTATTGCTTCTTTCCTGTCCTCACCTTGGTTTCTCAGACCCACCCATCTCCAGACTCCCATTCCCTGTTTATCTGAATTTTTGCTTGCACCTAAATCACCTTTCCCAGGGTTTCTTTTCCTTTTCCAAGGGTCTTTTCTAAGATTGCTAACTTCCTAAAGCTCTCTCTCTCTTTTTCTCTCCCTCTCCCTTCCTCTCTCTCTCATTCCCTATGTGGAATGGTCTTCTCAATCATTCCCAAGAACCCAGCTATCACCCCAGACTCTCTCAAACTCTCAGGCACAGCTGTTTTCTGAACTCCAGATTCTGGAATCAAATTGTCTTCTGTATTTTTAATCTCCCCACACATTTATGTGGTATATTATATGCTAAATACTATTCTAAGTGCTTAATGTTTATTCATTTAATTGAAACTTTAGACCACCCATTTTACACACAAGGAAGATTATATATGGAGAAAGTGAAATTAAGTCCATTTTCCATAGCACAGTGGGTAGGGCGTCTGCCTTGCACGCGGCCAACATGGCCGACCCGAGTTCGATTCCTCCACCCCTCTCGGAGAGCCCGGCAAGCTACCGAGAGTATTCGATATGCCAGACACAGTAACAACAAAGTCTCCAATGGAGACGTTACTGGGCCCGCTCGAGCAAATCGATGATCAACGGGAGGGCCTTTACTTTACTTAACTTTTTCCCAGTCCCCTAAACCCAAGTTACCTCTCACATATCCCATCCTGTCAGCACTCCACATCCACCTAGTAACTCATGTCAGGAACCCTGGTATTTCTTGATTCCTACCCACCCATGAATCCACTAAGTCTTAAATATTTTCCTTTTAAATAGCTCTTGAATCTGTCCACTCTCCATCCTCATTGCTTGCACTTTCTTCTAAGCCAGTTTTCTCAGATGTCATGGAGGAAGGAGAGCATAGGTGAAAATCACATGACGATAGTCCTTCTGCAGACAAGACTTGTGTAATTCATTCTTGCATTGGCCAAAGTAATCAGTGGCAATCCTGATCTGCTAGAAATGCTTGATAAATACTCACTGAATAAAAGGACCCAAGAAAGGAACACCACTGGACACGTCCGTCCTTCTTTCAAAATTCCTGCAGTGTGCTCAAGGAAATATCCCTGATCTGGGATATTTTAAGCAATACATTTTTTATCTTCACCCCTAGTCCCTACCATAGAGCTTCTAAATCCCCCTGGAATTTCCTGGGTGATAGAAGTGATAGGAGGATAATTTGTTCTTAACCCAAAGTTCTTGTTCCGTGTTTCCAGTTCTTGGGCTGGTCACGTAATGAGATTTAAAGACGACCGTTGGACTAGAGCTGTTACTGATTGGATTCCACGGGATGTCAAGAGACCGTGTGGCCGCCCACCTACCAGATGGTCAGACTTCTTCGTCAAGATCATGAACGATCGGTTTGAGACCCTTCATGTTCCCAGAGCAAACAGATGCCACTGGACTACATTAGCACGCGACAGGGACAAATGGAGACGTTACTGGCGCCCGCTCGAGCAAATCGACGACTAACGGGAAGTTAAGTGATAAGTGATAAGTGATAACCCAGAGTTCTTAAACCCCTTGCGATTTCCTGGGTAGAGGAGTCTCTTTTATTTTAATGAACTAACTTATAATGGGATTCATCTCATTCTAAGATCAGGACTTGTCAACTTTGGAGAAAGAAAAGGAACAAGAGATTGAGTTCAAAATCTATCACTCCAGAGCGAGAAAGACAGCTCAAGCAGTACTACATACCTGAAGCTCTGAGTTTGATACTTAACACTGCACAGCTCTTTGAGTGCCATGAAATATAGCCCTGCTAGAGTACCCATCATAAACTCCACTAGCTGTAGACCTGGTAGCACTCAAGCACTTTCAAGGCTAAGCACTGAACAGTTAGGTCTGAACCCCATCAAACTCCTCACTCTTGAGTCACTGCCTGGCCAGGCATTGCTGCACTACAGTGTAGCCCTGGGCCCCTGGTTCTGGTGCTTATAAAAAACTGTCTTGTCTACCTCATTAAATCTCCACCAAAGCTCTTAAATTACAACCTTCAGTGTTGGTGAATACATTCAGGTGTTAGCAGGGTGGTGCACCCCAAAATCCACAGAGACAAAGACCCAAGACCCATCTGAAACCTTCTTTGATGCTAAAAAGCTTAGGAAAGAAAGCTTATTATAATCAGCTAGTAATAAATATCAGGAAATCATCTACAGAGTTCCATGAACCATTATACTCAATCATTATATTTTCTTGCAAATACTCAAGCCTGATGATGGGTGAATGAAGACTCCCAAGTTGATCAGAAGCAGGCAAAACCAGGAGACCCACCACTTATGAGGAATGTGTGAAGTGTGGGGTGGACTTTTGGCTCTGAGTCCTTAACCTATGCACTATCTTGGTAGTCAGTGTCAGAGTTGGTTTCATGTAGAATGCCCCACTAGGAATTGCCCAGTGTGAAAACACATAGCTGCTACAGGTGGGCTCACACTGATCTGGTTGCCACCATTATTTTAATGGTGACAAACACTTGTCCCCACTCTCACTCCATCCCGAGGAGAGATATAAATCAGAACAATAATGGGTTTTCTTTAACCTGATGCAATCAATTTATTGGACAGCTGTTTAATGAAAGCTACACTTTGAGAGGTTCTGTTATTTGAAGGTCAAGATATCTATCACCTTACTCTACCACATTCATTATCAATTCCAGTGTGAATCACCACTCCAAATCATACTGTCCAGTCATAAGAATAGGGGACCAAGAGCTATAGTCTGTGGATTTAGGCTTATTGCTCTGTTACAGGGTACGGGTATATATCGAGGGCATGGGTTCTACATTGCTGCTCTGGAACCTTCCTCGATGTGCAAGTCTCCTTCCCATTAGACATCCAAAGAGAGGAATTTTGCTCCTATTCTTGTTTCTCTCTCTTTATTGTGAGAGTAGGATGTTATACATGGAGAGATTCTCACAGAGAGGTCATGTGCTGATATGGACAGGTGTCATGGAGACTCAACAAAGCTGCTATGGTAGCAATCAACAGAAATACCTTTAGCCCCAGGTAGATATAGGATAGAGTCATCCCAGCCCCAATAGGGTCTACCGCCATGTTTCTAGGCAGTCATCCCCTGTTCCAAGTTTCCTGCTGGCTTTCCCTTCTTCCTGCATCTCAGATAAGGGGATCCAGGGAAATGCCAGGGTGCAGGAAAGAAAGACATCACTAAAACCTGTCATGGGACATTATGATCTTTGAGGTGCCTCGCTGCCTAATTTCACAACTCCCAGACTTGCTCTTTTCATGTTTCAAGATGGCCTTACTGCTACACCAGGAAGTTCACAATCCAATAGAGAAACCCATATTTCACCACATAATCATTGCCATTTTGTGTGAAAAAGTGAAATATGACCATATGTGAAGTTTGTTTTAAAAAAATTTGACCAGAATTACTGGGAAAAAAGAGTGCAATGCATACACTGTGATATACAGTAGGAGAGATTTCATCCTCTGGAGACACAGTTTATGGTGTGAGGTGCCTCAGTTCTTCTCATAAGGTTGAGGTATCCTGGGGTAGGGGTCTCCTTAACCTCTGGCAGATCTGTACACCTCCTCCCATGTTGCTCTGCCCCATCTTGCTCTGACTGCTCTGGCAACCTCCCATCCCCCATCCCTGCCCCCTCACTGACCACCAGCTCTGCAAAACAAACGTTGAGCTCCTCAGTGTTCGGGATGGGACTGGAGAACTCCATGTACTGCAAAGGGTTGTTGTCCCGAAGGTTGATCTCAGGAAGTTCGCTGCCTCCAAAGCAGCACAGGAAGCCCAGGCCATGGCGGCTCCTCTTGCGGGGGGCCATGATGAGCACTGCAGTCTGCGGGGGACAGTCAGCAGACAGATGGCCTAGGTCCTCATTGATCTGAGCAGGAGAGCAGAGAATACACTTGTTAGGTCTCAGACCTAGGTACAATGGAGCCCCCAGCCCAACAGTCAAGACCCTTCTTTACTTCCGCAGCTTCTCTATGCCTTTTAGTGCCTTGAGATAGTCACAGGTCCCTCAGTCATACCCTTCTAATTTCTCCTGCCACACATATCTTCAGACTCCCTCTGCACCCACAGACAGGAGGCTGTGGTCAAAGGATGTGATTTCCAGGAGAGCAAAGCAGCTGTTCATCTTACCACTCCATGTTTTTGCAGAAGGGACTCATATTCCTTGTCTTCTGGCAGATCTATTTTCAATTGTTTAATTCATTCTGGGTTTCAGGGTGCCTGATTTAAAAGTGTTGTACAACAGCAAGGGAAGTGTTAGAATCAGCTGGCAGGCAGACACCAAGCTAATTTTATGGGATGGTGTGTAGAATGGAGTCCTCCAGGGGAACACTGGATGGAGGGCTTCAACTCCCTGAAAGGCTTTCTGCTATTCTGTGAGCACAAGAATGTTTGTAGAAATAGGAAATAAGACCAGGATAAGAGCCCATATATCTGGGAGGAGGAAGGACCCAAGAGAGTCATTTGGGTGAGTACTGAGTCTGGAAATGGAATTGATCACTGGAATGGTGTTTAACCAAAAATGAAAGAAAGTGGTCAGCAAGCATGAATAGAGGACACCACGCTCTGGCCAGTCAGCAGAACTGAGGGGCACTAAACTGGTGGGTGTTCACATAAAGAGTTAAGCATTTCTCTTGCCTCTGGGAGTGTCTGCTTCAGTGGTACCAGACTTAGTGGTACCAGCAATAGTGTTCAAAGACACTTAGTTCTAGATAGATAAGTTCTAGATAGATAGATAACCATCCTTGACAACTGGTTCCTCTGAGGTGGAGAGAGGGACCTACTCAGTACATGGTACTTGGAGAGGTAGGCATTATCTGGGATGGAACCCAGTGTGTCACACACATATGTGGCATGGATTCCAGCCTTTTGTGCTATCTCTCCAGCCCAACAACTGATTCCAAAACATGCTTTTAGATAATCTGAGTAGGTTCAGTAGACAGACCACAGTTTATTCATATGGCTTCCAGACACAATCTCGTCAATTTGCATTTGTCTATCTTGATTACTAAGACATAAAGAGGACTTAGATCATTTTGTTATTGAAGAGTTTTCCTATCATTTTACACCATTATTGTTATTGACAGTTTAACCTTTCCAATGTGTCCAGCTGAGTGGCATTAAGTAGATTCATGTTGAAGCACAACCATCACTATCATCCATCTTCACAACATTTTTCATATTTCAAAACAGAAACTCTATGTTCATTAAACAATAACTTCCCATCTCTCCCACCCCTGCACCAGAGATCAAAATTCTGCTTTGTCTATAAGAATCTGACTGCTCTAACTACATACGAACAGAGTTACATAGCATTTGTCCTTTTATGCCTGGCTTATGTCACTTAACACACTGTCGTCAAGGTTCAAATAGGTTGCATTTGCCAGAAGTTCTTTTATTTTTAAGGCTGAATAACATTCTACTGTATATACAGACTACGTTTTGTTTATCTGTTCATCTGTCAACAAATTCTTAAATTGTTTCCTCTTTTTGACTATTGTGAATAGTGCTGTATAAACATGCATGCACATTTAAACTCTATTTACGTTCCTACTCTCAGTTCTTTGGGATAGACGACTAACAGGGATCAAGATATTTTTGAGTTTTCTTTATTAACAGTTCTCTGAGATTAATGATTCATTAATTGAATAATCAGCTTTTCTCCAGATTCTTTACCTGGAGAGTCCTGACCATCATTTTGTAATTGTTGACCTACAGGGGGATGTAGACAGACTCAGATAATGTAGCGATGTTCTCTGGTAATGTCAAATTGCTAGTCATCAGCACTTCCAAGGACTAATTCTTCAACCAGCTCCAAATTCGCAAAGCCTTGCTCTTAACAAGCCTTTATTTTCTCTAGAGATGCCATCATATTCCTTTCCTTAAAGTCTTGATAAACTAAAAAATATGTTAGGTCTAAAACATTCCCCCAAGTTCTCAAAACTTATCTACAGAGATAAGCCCAGGTAGATGAACCCCAGGTAACTTCTACAGAGCACCACTTGATTTCCTCGGCCCAAACAATCTAAGCTAATCATTTAGTCAAGAATGATCTGCCCTCTCATATAAGTTATGATGCACTGTAATTGTATTTCTAGAGCTCTTACCAGCTCAATTTTATCTCTTTATAAACTTTATGACTTAATACACCCAGGAGAGCATCAAATACTAAAATCTCCTCAAGGTCGTCTTCTCTATTCTGTGCTCACACATTAGCTCTCTGCAGCTATAATGAAGACTCTTTTAGGGTAGGAGCTGTATCTCCCACTTCTCTGGCAAATTTCATAACACACACACACACACACACACACACATTCTCTACAGCATTTCTGTATCCAACAAAATGACTTGAACTCAGTCAGTATGCAAGCATTCCTTTGCCAATTGGAAAAAGGAGAGAGAGCCTTATTAAAAAGTTAAGAAACATGGATTGCAATCTGACTCTTCGGGTGGATAAATAGTTAGGAACCTGTAGAGGGAACAAGGTGAATACCCTGAGGTGGAGGGAAAGGAAGCCCAATAGGCTATGCAGAGCTCTGACACAAGGGGCTCAAGAATTGAGTAGCCTTGGAGTTAAGGAAATAAAGCAAGGAAGGGAGACTTGGGACCGTCCAAGGTACTCATGGGACTTGAGGGCTGAAAGTAGGAAAGATGAAGTTCTGTAGTCTGACTGTAGACCCAGGAAATCACCAGGTCTGGAGGAAGGTGGGATGCACTCCCCAAGGGAACCCTTTCCCATGATCAAGTTTGGTGGGAGCATGACACGAGCACAGATTGTCTCCTTTTTTCTGTCATCTCTCCAAGTGCAGCTTCAAGTTGCCTTACTCAAGCAAGACACAGAGCAGGGAAGGGGTGGGCTGATACCATGATGAGCTTCTGGGAGGGAAGAGAGCACATGTACGAGGACCTGGGGTTTCTCTTCCTACCTTCACTCCTCACTTATCCCCGCCCCCCGCCATTGTCTTTTTTTGCTCTTTGACTCCCAAGCTGGGCTTTGCCAGGCATCATGAGGGTTGGGCAGCTGGACTGACATACAGCAGGCACACTCTGCTTATCTTACAGCAACTGCCAACAATTATGACTGCCCTGCAAGTCATTCCTGTCACTAAATATTTTTATACTTTCCCTGAGGTTGTTGCACAGCTCAGGAGGAGGGAAAGTCAGTCACAGATGCGCCGAAGAGGAAATGACATCTCCAAAGGAATGGGCCTGAACACCCCGGAGAAGCCCACATAGTTTCTCTCTCTTAAGGGGTGGCCTCTTGGACAGCACCAAGTTCTTATGCTCCTGGAGGCACCTTTTCCCCAGACTTCTCTCATGACTGTTGCTGTTTCTATTTCTTAGGGTCCTGTCTGAATATGAAGACTGAAATCAAGGTTCTCCACTGGAAGTCATGTTGGTTCACAGCTCAGAAGATTGAAGTTCACAGATGAAATATCTCGTCTGAGATCATGCACCACGGACAGAGTGAGACTGAGAGGCTCCCCACTTTCCCAGAGCATGACTACTCAACAATCCTTTCCCCCATTTCTACTCTACCCACAATAACCTCTCTTCTAGAGAGGCCTACATTTCTTTTAGAAGTAGCTCCAGTCTCAAAATTTCCACCCCAGAAAGGGATATGGAAACCCACCCCCCAAAACCTACCTTTATCAGAAGGGACTACTTCCTTCTCCCACCAACCCACTTTCACAACCACCTATGCTCTAGCACTTTGCTTGCTCAAGCAGAACTTTCCAAGTCTTATGTCTTGTGATTGATTCCTAATTTGCTGTCCCAGCGAGAGCCCCAGGGTCTTCTTGTGTGATAGCAAATGCTCAGCAACATCTTTCCTAGTGGAGTCCATGGAGCTGGTCCTGCTCAGTGCCTGCAACCATAATCTCTTCCCTAACAGGCACTGTGGGAGATCGCCCAGCAACTTAAGGAGACACTTAACTTTACCTCCAGCAACAGGGAAGTCTGGACCACAGGAATGGGTTCTTTCCTGGGTTCTGAGCTCTCTCTCTCTCTCTCTCTCTCTCTCTCTCTCTGGAAAAGGAAGCCTATTGCCAATACACTCTTCAAATCAGTATCTTCAGGGCAAACCAAAATTCCCAAAAGGAGAGAGAGAGAGAGAGAGAGAGAGAGAGAGAGAGAGAGAGAGAGAGAGAGAGAAGAGAGAGGTGAGTGGGTGTATGAGGGAAACTGGGGACATTGGTGGTGGGAAATGTACACTGGTGAAGGGACTGGTGTTGGAACATTGTCTGACTGAAATCCAATCATGAACGACCTTGTAACTATGTACCTCATAGTGATTCAATTAAAAAATAGATGACATCATTTTAAAGAAGATCCTTATAAATACCTATGGTTCATAGAGGTTAAATAACTTTTCTAAAGACACACAACTAGTTGTGGTCTAGCTAGGAATAAGACACACGATTCACTCTAAAACTATAGTCCACTAAGCCAAAAACACAGGTCCACACACATATAGCATTTCCCTAATCTGAGATGGGCTCAAGCTTCCTAGAGTGTTCTAGAGTTTCCTATTCAATCATCCCTGACTCATCATTTCTTTATTTTTAATTTTTTAATTTTTTAAAAATTTTTATTAGTGAAACACAATGAGGTACAGTTGTAGACAAATTTTTGTGCTTGGGTTTCAGTTATACAATGATCGAATACCCATCCCTCCACCAGTGCCCATTCTCCACCATCACTGATCCCAGTATCCCTCCCACCCCCCGTACCCCCATCCTACCCTACCTCTGTGGCAGGGCATTCCCTTTTGTTATCTCTCTCCTTTTGAGTGCCGTGGTTTGCAAAACAGACATTGAGTGGAAATCATGTTCGGTCTATAGTCTACTCTCATCACGCATCTCCCATTCT